TGCTCACACATGCCATCTCTAATCATCAAGGTTTGCTTTTTCCCAGAAGAGGAGACAGGCTCAGGGAGGCTCCCCTCACCAGGAAGAAGTGGAGGGAGTCCTCCTCATCCAACACGTAGAGCGTGCCAGGGAGGTGACTTACCTGTGAGTCTGTGTGGCATCATCCCAACTACCGTGGGGACCCCTCGACAGGCCTTCCTCCTCTTTGGCTCCAATTAGTACTTCACACAGTGGCAAGGACACAGAAAAATGTGTCATCAGGTAGGGTTTTTTTCTTTAATAAACTTAATTTTTCTAGAGTAGTTTAGGTTGATCTGCAAATTTGATCTGAAAGTATAGAGTTCTCATACACTGTGTTCCCATATATGCACACCTTCATCATCGATCATCATCCTGGCACCTGAGTAGTACAATTCTTACAACTGATGAACCTGGACTACATCAGTATCCCTCAAAGTCCACGGTTGACATTAGGGCTCATTACTGGTGTGGTATGGTCTATGGTGGTTTCGACAAACGTGTACTACCATGTATCTACCTTTTCGGTATCACACAAGGGTTTCACTGCTCTAAAAATCCTCTGTGCCTCACCTATTCACCCCTCCTGCCCTCCGTGTCTTTCCTTGGTCTGATAGCTCATGTCTTTTTAGTGCTGTTATTCCATCGTCTGGATGGACCACAGCTGGTTCATCCATTTACCTTCGGAAGAATATCCGGGTTGCTTCCACGTTTTGGCAATTATGAATACAGCCGCTACAAACATCTGTCCGCACATAAGGTTTGTGTGTGGGCCTAAGTTTCCAACTCCTTCGGGTAAAGGCCAAGGAGCACAATTTCTGGATTGTATGGGCAGAGTATGTTTAGTTTTGTAAGAAACCTCCAAACTGTCTTCCAAAGTGGCTGCACCGTTCTGCATTCCCACCAGCGGTGAGTGAGTGTTCCTGCTGCTCCGCATCCTCGCCAGTATTGGGCATTGTCAGTATTCCAGATTTTCTCCATTCTAATAGGTGCATAGTGGTACCTCGTGGTTGTTTTAATTTGCATCTCCCTGATGCCTTATGATGTGGAGCATCTTTTCATATGTTTACTTGCCACCTGCGTGTCTTCTTTGTTGAGGTGTCTGCGAAGGTCTTTGGCTCATTTTTTAATCGAGTTCTTGGTTTTCTTATAGTTGAGCTTGAAGAGTTCTGTGTGTATTTTGGATAAGAGTCCTTTATCATGTACACACGAGATCCGTCAAGGTCCCAGTAGAAAACAGATGGGACACCTGAGCTGAGTCCTTAAGGAAACCTATTAAAGAAACTGTTGACAGGATACGGGCAGAGTTGAGGAAGACTGCCAGGGGGCTGTGACAGACCAGCATCAGCCAGAGGAGGGGCCAAGGCCAGCCTGGGCTGAGGGAAAGAAGAGGGGGCAGTGGCCTGAGCCCAGGTGTAGGGGGCAGGGCATCAGCCCCCAAAGGTGTCCACATCCTAATCCCCAGAACCTGTGTGTATGTCACATCCTGGAGGTCACATTACACGGCAAAGGGAAATTAAGGCTGCAGTGGAATTAAGGTTGCTGCTTGGCTGGGCTTAAAATGGGGAGACTGTTCTGGATTATCTCCAATCACCTGAGCAGTCACCCTGAACCCTCCTCCTGCTTTGCTGCTGCAAAGCTTGGGGCACGCCCATCACCACTGCCTGTCACTGCAGTCTCTATCCTTGCCGTGTGTATCAGGTGGGCCCGATAAAATCACAGGGTCTTTAAAAGAAGAAGGAGGAGGCAGGAGAGAAGCAGAAATGGCAGCATGGGAGTGATCTGGCACGACCTTGCTGACTTGGAGAAGGAGGAGACCATAAGGCAATGACACTGGCAGCCTGCAGCAACGGGAAGGCAAGGACACAGGTTCTCTGCTAGGGCTTCCGGAAGGAACACACCCTACCCTGCCAACACCTTGATGGTAGCCCCACCAGACCTGTACTTCTGACCTACTGAACTGTAAGGTACTTACTTTGCATTGTCTGCAGCCACCCAGTTTACTGTCATTTATGACAGCAGACATCGAAGGCTAGTTCACGAAGTAGCTGGAGGAGACCTCTGCAGGGGCTTTGGTGGAGGGTGCCAAGGTTTGGGGCAATCCATGGTAATCCAGCAGGGAGGAAGTGAAAGGAACAATACCTTCAACTGTCTCCTCCCACTTTCTCAATATCCACCACACGCTGAACCCACGTGGAAGCCAGAGAACCCAGGGCAGAGCAGAGAAGAATGAAGAACAGATATGGAAATGCATAATGAAGGGAAGATGTGTGTGTGTGCGTGCACATGCCTATCTCTCTCTCTCACACACACATAAGCACACACACACACGTGTGCACACACACACACACACACACACACTGTGGTTGCCGTGAAGGTAAACTCTGCTTATCTGAGTCAGAAATTCCTACCATAACTCAATCCTGGAGTGAGGGAAACAGGCATTAACTCTTTTTTTCAAGGTTCAAGTAGCAAATAATCTCTCCAGGTCATCAGCTGGCACCAGGATCCAAAGCTGCATAGGGATTGGAAGCTGTGTTAGTGCAACAAAGTACCACGAACTGGGAGGCTCCAACAATAGAAATTCAGTTGCTCACAGTTTTGGAGGCTGGAAGTCCAAGATTAAGCGCCAGCTGATTTGGCTCCTGCTGAGAACTCTCTTCCTGATGGGCAGACAGTTTCCTTCTCACCATGTCCTCAGATGGCAGAGAGAGAGGGAGCTCTCTGGTACCTCCACTTGTAAGGACACTAATCCTATGGGATCAGGGCCCCACCCTTCTGACCTCATTTAATCCTAATTACTTCCTTACTCCTAATACAGCCACACTAGGGCATAGGCTTCAGCATACCAATTGGGGGAAGGGAGACACAAAGCAGTCCATAGCAGACGCCCTTTTGATTATATCTTGCATATAACAGGCAAGAAGGTCAGGAATCTGGGCACACAAAGCAAGCAAAAGGTCCTGGCCTCAGAGACCCCCTGGCCTGGCCAGGATGCCTCGTTAATACTTTACATGATTGACACAACAGCCCAAAACAGCATCTCTCCATCTCTGGCATCCCTGGACTCAGAACTGCTGTACTTCCACAGCTGCCCACACCTGGTGGATCCCTCTAGCACTGAGTGGTTCTGAGTTAAATGCTGCATAATTAAAGGTGGAATCATTTAGCCTGGCGTGTGGTTCAACGGGAGAGCCAAGATGTTGATTCTAACATAGACAGTCTTCCAATATAGACTGAAACCAGTCTTAACACAAGTGATGTTTTGTTTTTATCCTAAGGCAAAATTAGGCTCATATGGGGATGGAAGAAGCAAGCTCTAGGCCCAGAGCATCCAGAGAGTGGATACACTCTCTGAGTAGACTTTCAGGTTAGAAGGACCGCAAATGAGATTTACAAACAGAAGGCACATCGGTCACTCCGCTGTGGTCCCCTAGGTGAAGAGAGAAATTGTGAGCCCTCCGACACGGTCACAGGGGGAACCCATGGGGTGAGTCAATGGGGCCGATTCTTCCTCACTTCCACAGTAACTGCATTTTACAGGCTGCCTCTGACCAGGCTGGAGAGGCTCATCCATCGAAGCCACCGAGGAAACTCTCCTCTTTCTACCTGACAGAGGATGCTTACGGAGAGCTGTCCTAAAAAGACAACAATACCTCCTTCACCTCTTGGGACACTCCCACAAGGGCTACAAGTGAAAAACCAGGAAATATTCCCTTTGTCTTTGAACTTCCCCACTATGTAGGAGTTAAGGTTGAACTCCCATAATGACAGCCCGGGGACTCCAGTCCTGAAGACTCCTATCTGCTCAGTGCTCTAACACACTAAAGTAAGAGGCTGATGGCTCGCTGGAGACATACAGCTGGTGAATGGCAGAGCCCAGGCTCCTACCACCTCTCCTGAAACCCAAGCCCCCTGTCCTCTCCACCGTTCCAGCCTAGACCTTGGGAGACTGAGTACTTGGAGAAGTCTTCCAAAGGGAAGCAGCAACTTGCCTTTTTCCAGATCCTACAGGCCTTACTGAGCTACACAAAACCCAGTAAAGAGTTAAAAATTTATTAATGTAGGATTTTTGCTTCAAAGAAAATTTGTCTAAAACTCATGTATGGAATCCTTGTTGTGGACTGAATCGTGTCCCCCAAAAATCCACTTGTTGCATCCTTAGCCCACAATGTGACTGTAAGGTTATATATCTGGATGGAAGATTAAACTATCAGTGGGGCATAGCAACTTTGCCAAAGACAAAAAATCAGGAGACCTGTGTTTGGCTCTAGTAAGGATCAGGGGTTCTAAGTGCAAGATAATTAAGGGTCTTTTAACTCTAAAGTTCTGGCATTTACAAGGGTTAAGGAAAGAGACCAATGAAAGGCTTTAAAGCATGTTAACACACTTCTTTTCACTTCCTCACCCTGCTCCATGGGAATGACGTCCTAAAAGCCTGGAAAGCCTGATACCCTGAGGATGCATCTACCAGTGACAAAGGAATCCCTGGAGGATGTTAGTGTGGTGTTCAAACAGCCCTTTAGCAAGCAGAGTAACAGCAAAGTGCCAAAGTTCTGGCAAGTCCCTGACCAGCTGTTTCTGGGACCACATGCACATAGCGGCACAGTGCAAGCGGGCCAGGTGCCTGGTACCCACGGCATGCCTATTTATGCTGAAGGTTTGGAGCTTTCTCACAGATTGGCTCATTTAATCTTCACGGAAATTCTGCAACGTAGATAATAGTTTTTACATGCAGAAGTGGGTTGGGAGGTTAAAAAACTTGCCCAAGTTCACACAGCTGGTAAGTCAGGCCCAAACCCCTGTATCACCTTCCACCCAGCACCCAGCGCTTCCGTGGGTTGAAATGAACGGAGAAATGTAAACGCAGCCAACAGGCTTACATTCGCTGTCCCATCCCGCCCGGCGTTTGCTCAGGGGCACCCTTGGGAGGGGGGTGGGGGGGGCGGGTCCTCCCATCCTGGAGGTTCCCGGCGAGGAGGAGGCGCTCACTCTCCTCTCTGGGCAGCTCGCCCGGTCTCCGCGCAGTGAGAGGGAGGGAGCGCCGGCCGCGGGAGCGCGATGGAGAGCAGCAACCCGCGGCCCCCGAGGCCCAGCCCGGGCCCCGCGCTGAGCCTGGACGCCCGACTGGGCGTGGACACGCGCCTCTGGGCCAAGGTGCTGTTCACCGCTCTCTACGCGCTCATCTTCGCGCTGGGCACGGCGGGCAATGCGCTGTCCGCGCACGTGGTGCTGAAGGGGCGCGCCGGGCCCCCGGGGCGCCTGCGCTACCACGTGCTCAGCCTGGCGCTCTCCGGGCTGCTGCTGCTGCTGGTCAGCGTGCCCGTGGAGCTCTACAACTTCGTGTGGTTCCACTACCCCTGGGCGTTCGGCGACCTGGGCTGCCGCGCTTACTACTTCGTGCGCGAGCTGTGCGCCTACACCACGGTGCTCAGCGTAGCCAGCCTGAGCGCCGAGCGCTGCCTGGCCGTGTGCCAGCCCCTGCGCGCCCGTCGCCTGCTGTCGCCGCGCCGGACCCGCCGCCTGCTGTCGCTCGTCTGGGCCGCCTCGCTCGGCCTCGCCCTGCCCATGGCAATCATCATGGGGCAGAAGTACGAGCTGGAGACGGCTGACGGGGAGCCGGAGCCCGCCTCGCGCGTGTGCACCGTGCTGGTGAGCCGCGCCACGCTCCAGGTCTTCATTCAGGTAAGGCGGCGGGGGCGGGGAGGGTAAAGGGCCGGTGTTTTCACTTCTAATACTCGCGACCGCCCCCAACTCCGAAAATTTGGGTCTCACTGCCCCATTTTACAGAGGACTTGCGGAGAGGCTTGGCATGAGGTATTAAGAGAAGTCCAGATTTGAATTCAAAACTAATTCTGAAAGTCTGCGCTCTTCCCAGCGGTGCAATAATGATGACCAAACATCACTGGGCATAAGAATTGTGGGGAAGGGGGGCTGTAAAAATATAGATTTCATAATCCACTCCAGCCTTCTACTTTTTTATCATCAAAACTAACCATCTTCATTCAGCCTCACTGCAGAAATATCCAGTTTAATGGGATTTTGTGGAGATATAAAAGAGAAGCCTGAATATTCAATATTAATGATTTCAGAAGAAATGCATATATTAATTGTAGCCTTAACAAGAATTTGGAAAAATATAAAATTAAACCTGATTAGGAAACATTCCACTTGGCTTCAGAAGTTGCTTACTATGGTCACTATGGAGAATTACTCAGAAGCAACAAGGTAGGATCACTAATTTTTAAAAATCCACTTCCTATATGTTTGTGGGTTGTAACATTCCTTACCCAAATCTGGACCTGATGATAAAGAAGACAAAAACAAAAGCAGAAACACAGCAGCAAGCAGAACAGTAATGATACTAATGAAACTGGTCATGCAGGGACTCCAGACCGCAGTCAGAAGGAGGGGCCCCATTGATAATAGTGGGCTGCTCCTCCTACCATGTCAGGTGGACTAGTCATGCCCTGAGACCCCATCGGTCCAGTCCGCACGTTGCCTTCCCCCATGCTGGCCCAAGCATATCGCAGCCACAGAGCCACGTATCTAGAGCACCCATCGAGTCTCAGCAGCCTCCATGCAGGTTCTGAGTTGCACCAGAATGATCTAGCTGAATAGTCAGAGCACCGCAGCTCCTGCCTTAGGTCTGACTGTGTAGCTCCCTTCTGCACCCTGGTATGGCCGTGGCAATGAACCAGGAACCACATGCTCAAAAGGCGTGGTAGCCAAGGTCCACCAGTTTTCACAGACTAGGGTGGTAGCTTCCAGGCTGCACCTATTTTGGAGTTGGGCTTAGGGCAGGGAGAGAGCCAAGCAAGGTCTGTGCTGTGAATACGCTGCTTGCATAGTTTACATTATGTGGTGCAAACTGACCAATGCGATAGAAACTGTGAAATGTGCCAGGGGCAAGCTTTTGACATTATGCGTAGTGAATTCCTTCATGGTAACAGCATTATTCGACAAATGGTATATTAAAAAATATTTAACTTGAGACATACAGTCTATGTTAACACAACAAAATAACCAAACTCAAATTAGGATTATTTCACTAAAAAGTGTCTTATCGCTCACTGTCCATATTTATCAGTGTTTTTTGACCACAAAAAAATTGCTCATAGTTTTTGAAAGTACAAAAAATTGTCTAGTATTTCAAAGCTCCCAAAGATTAATTACTAACTGATGAATATATTTTTACCCTAGATGTCTGTCTTGATGGGCATCAAAGTTACAATTTGTTAATAAGTATGTTGTTGCTGATAAAACCCTGCTTGGTTCTGCAACAAACTAAAATGACTGTCACTTAGTGTTTTATTTTTCTCTTGGTGCTGCTGATTTGTGAGCATGTGTTATGAAAAAAGCATGAGTGATAACTCCTTAAAAAGGTACAGCACCCAACCCAGATATTTTGTACTGATTTTAAAATGTTATTAAAATGTTCCGTTTAGGGGTGCCTGGGTGGCTCAGATAAGCATCTGCCTTCAGCTCAGGTCATGATCCCAGGGTCCTGGGATCAAGCCCTGCATCGGGCTCCTTGCTCAGCGGGGAGCCTGCTTCTCCCTCTCCCTCTGCCTCTCCCCCTGCTCATGCTCTCTCTCTATATATATATATCTGTGTCTCAAATGAATAAATAAATAAATAATCTTTTTTTAAAAAAAGAAAAAAAAGTAAAAGAATAAAATGTTCGGTTTAGGGGCACCTGGGTGGCTCAGTCGATTAAGGGTTGGACTCTTGATTTCGGCTCAGGTTGTGATCCTGGGGTCCTGGGATCAAGCCTCGTGTGGGGTCCTATACTCAGCACAAAATCTGCTTGAGGCTTCTCTCTCTCCCCTCTCCCTCTGCCTCTACCCCTGCTCCCCCCCAAATAAATAAACAAATCTTTAAAAAAATAAAAACAAAATGTTCAGTTTAAAACAAAATGTTTACACAGAACCAATAAGGAAAAACCCTATAACACATAGATTCTGAATATTTTTTAAGATTTTGTTTATTTATTTGAGAGAGAGAGAGAGAGCATGAGCACAGGGAGGAGCAGAGGGGGAAGAATCTCAAGCTGACTCTGCACTCAGTGCAGAGCCTGACATGGGACCCGATCCCATGACCCCAAGATCATGACCTAAGTTGAAACCAAGAGTTGGACGTGCAACCAACTGAGCCACCCAGGCACCCCATATATCTAGAATCTTAAAAATTAAACACTTAAAAAACGAGGTATTATATAATAAACTTATTTCTCAAAAGTCAAAAAATATCAACTAATAATTACGTTACAAGGCTTGTAACATAAAACGCTGTTCCGTTACCGCCCCTTCACTCTTTGATTTATATTCTCTTATTGAGGGGCAGCTACCATCCACCCTTAGTTTTGCTGCTCTTTGCCTACATATTTCTAAAGAACATGCCTGCTTGATTTTGCAGTTTTTACACTTCATGCAGTGTCTTCTACCTGGAGAGAAAGAGCATCCTGCTCTCTTGCACTGCATCCCTACCCTCCTCACCCCACATCCACACACACTTCTCACGGCTCCTCCAGTGCAATTACGGCAAGGTATAATAAGGTTCGTCTTACGCTCAGTACTTACGTACTGTGACTATGCTAAACGTTCTTCACAGATGAACCACGTCATATATTTTTATTATATTTCCTTTCCAATGTTACCTTTGCTTCCTTGCCATCAATAATGGTCTTTTTTTCAACTGGGCTTAGTTTCCTGTGATCTATTTCTCAGGCATGTTTTACTCCTCTACTAGAAGCATAAATACTATTTCGGTATGTCCAGACCCATCCGGTCAACTGTCAGTTGGCATCCTCCAGTCGCCCCTGCAGCCCCCTCTCCTGCTCCAATCTAACTGGATGTGCAGCGGCATCTTCCATCACTCTGCTCTTCTGTCACGTACACTATTTTTGGATCCTGGGTCTCCCTCTTTATTGGTTTATAACCTTATCTTGATGGAATATATGCTCTCGTAACCTCCTGTGACCTGAGAAAAGTTCTACAGAAGGTTAAAAAAAAGTGCAATTTTGCATGTCTGAAAATGTTCCAGATTATGGAACATAACATGGCTGGGGACAGAATTCCTCACAAGTTGTAAAGCATCACTCCACAGTTTTCCAGCTCCCACGGTTGCCTTAAAGAAGTCCAATGCCATTCTGGTTCCCACCCTTTGTATGTGCCCTATCCTATCCCTCTGGAAGTTGTCAAGGTTTTCTTTACCCACAGCGTGCTAAAAGTCCTAAGAACAGGCCTCGATGTGGGCTTATTTTCATCCATGGTTCTGGGGTCCCAAGCAGCCTTTCAATCTGGAAGCTTATATGTCTCACTCTTAGAAAAACTTTCTTCAATGTGGTTTATTTTGAAAAACTATTTCCTCCCGTTTTCTCTCTTTGCTTTCTAGAACCCACTATTACGTAGACGATGAGTGCCCTCAACTAATCCCAAATGTTCTTGTTGTCTCTCCTATTTTTATTGCTCTTTCCCATCTTTCTGAGAAGCTTCTCAACCTTATCTTGTAGCCCTGCTGTCGCCCTCCCCCCTCCTGCTGCTGCAGATTCCTGGGCCCTGGGCACAGCCTGATGACCAGGGCATCACAGAGCCTTGGTGCCACCACCATAAGCCATGGAATTACCTTTACAGGTGAATGTGCTGATATCCTTCGTGCTCCCCTTGGCATTAACTGCCTTCCTGAACGGGGTCACTGTGAGCCACCTGGTGGCCCTCTGCTCCCAGGTGCCGTCCACTTCTGCCCCGGGCAGCCCCACCCCCAGCCACGTGGAGCTAACGAGTGAGGAGAGGAGGACGCCCCCCCTGGGGGGCCAGGCCAGCCTGGTGAGACACAAGGACTCCAGCCGGCTCCGCCGTCTCCAGCACAGCGTCCAGGTTCTCAGTTAAGTACTCAGTAACACTGCCCTGAGTGGAAGAGCTGGGGCTCCAAGGATGCCTCCCCTAGCCCCTGGCCAAGTGACCTTGAGCAAGTTACTACCTCTCTCCAGGCCTCATTTTCTTCTCTATGCCCCAGGGGAATTGTATGACCATAGGGTTTGGTGGTATGATTAAAGGCTAGAATGGGAATTCTGTACATGAAACCCCCACCTGCTCCAGGGAGTAATGCATAAAGACAAGCAGATACCTGGTTACCTTTCAGGGAGTCCAGCCTATGGATGGATACAAGGAGCAGCTATAGTTAGGGACCCAGCCCAGTTCCCCACCAACTCCCTGCTTTCCCTGATACAACATTGAATGTTGGTTGGTTTTTCTAAGTATCTAGGTCAGCTTGGCCTTGTAGGGGAAACATTAAGAGGCACAGGAAAGCAGGTCTCTCCAAACGCCTGCACTAATGCAGGCACTCGCTAAGGTCTAGGAAGATTGAATAAGAGATCAGGGTCTCTCATCAGTGCCCCCAGTGTCATCCAGAGGACAGCAATGCAAGAGCTAAGTGTCATGTGATGTGACAAGAACAGAGGCAGCCCATGACGTGCGTGGACTTTCGTCTATAGACAACGGGCAGCATAGAGAGTCAATGCCCAAGGATGCAAGGAGATTTGCTTTGGAGATAGGTTTTACTCCTCAGTCTCTGGAGTGTAGGCTATGCTTCTCCGCTTCTGTGTGCGTGAGAACAGTGTGGAGAGTTGTAAAACACAGGCTACAGGGCCTCATCCAGGGATTCTGATTCAGTAGCTCTCGGTGGGCCCGAGACTGCACTTCTACCAAGTTCCCAGTTGATGTTGATGCCCTGGTCCAGAGGCCACACAGGATTACAGAATGGATTTGCCAAGCAGGGCAGGTGTAGGGGAGGGGATGGGAAGGATATAAGGGTAGGGACAAAGGGGCCAATTCGGAAACTGCTGTCACAGTCCAGTGGACAGGAGATATGAGCCCCTAGGGTGGGGCAGTAGAGGTGAGGAGGGAGGAATCAAGGGATGCTAAGGAAGAGCTTTTTAATAGATTGCATCTGGGGGTGATGGAAAAATCAACAGACTATCTGGCTTATGACTTGAGAGCTAGATGGATTGTGGACCATCAGTCAATCAGAAAAAGGAACAGAAGAGGCTTTATGAGGCAGAAGGACATTTAAGTTCAGTTGTCTCTGCCGTTAGACACCAATCAGGTGGGAACATCTAGCCCTGGTTTTTAGAGTATATTCTGGTGGTCAGGAGGAGGTTATAGAGGTTGTAGAAGTTTCTAGAAGCATGTTGGTGTACAGGTGGGGGTTAAAGTGGGCATTCACCCAGACATCAGAGTAACATCAGGTTTGGCTTCAGATTCAGATCAGAATGTCAGATAGCCTCGAAGTTCCCTCCCAACCCCTGGATTCTGGGAACAAGTTCCAGGGAAATGCTGTGGTCACCTTGGCATCTTCCTCCGTGGAGATGGCATAAGTGGGAACGTTTGCTCTCTGTCGCTCTGTCCCTCCCGACCTGTTCTGCAGGAGCCATTGTGGCTGTGTATGTCATCTGCTGGATGCCGTATCACGTCCGCAGGCTCATGTACTGCTACGTTTCCGATGACGGGTGGACTGGGTAGGTGCAGCAGAGGGACCCAAGAACGTAGGCAAAGGGCCACTGGGTTGGGCCTGGGACTTTCTATGCTCTCCACAGGGATTCCCAGTTGCTGGGTCTTTCGGAACTCTGGCCTCCGTTCTAGCTGGTCGTGCCCCGTCTGTGCCCTCAAACTCTCAGAGCTGGGGGTGGGGAACAGGGCATTTTCTAGCAACTTCACTGAACTGATAAGGTCATGTGAGTGAGAAGTCTCAGTGGTGACCAGGGCTATGGGCATCCTGACCACAGGATGGAGAGGCCCTCGGGTGGGGGAGCAGGGGAAGGGCCTTGCTATTGCAAGGAGAGGGAAGGAAGCCTCAGAGCCTCCCTGAGTCCATGAGCTAACAAGGGCCCCTTAGACAGACACCAGACCATGTATGCCTTTTGGGACACAACCGGAAAAGAGGAGAGAATCTACTGTCTTCCATTGGGAAATCACTATGCCTCTGATCCTAAGTGGAAAGCAAACATCCAAGAGAAGAGAGGTCCATGTAGCCTCCAAGGAAGTGGCTGTGTCAACAGATGCCTCATCCTCAAGGGCAACTAGCGCCCCTTACATTCAAATGCATATGCAAAGCCCGCCCCACAGCTGAGAATCCTTGTGGCGAGGAACATGGCTTCTCAGAAAGACGTTCACTTCTTAGGGAAGCCACGTCTCCTGGACCACACCCAGCAGCACGAGGCTCCCAGCGTCCCAGCGGGCTAGGCGACAGCCCCTGTCAATCAGCAGGTGCACCCTTCACTGTGCAGGGCACCGGGAACTGCACGGGGAACAGGGAATCAGAGGCTGGGTGGAGCGCACCTGCCAAGGGCAGCTAGTGTTGATGGACCATTTATCGAATTCACACCATGCTTCCCAGTAGCAGAACACAGGCCTTCCTCACCTGGCCCTTTGGAGGAGAGATGCTTTCTCTAGAAGAAAGGGGTGGACCCTGTGAGGAGGTGCAGATGGGTCCTCTAACACACCTCCCGGGTTTCTCTTCCAGGACACTCTACAATTTCTATCACTACTTCTACCTGGTGACAAACACGCTTTTCTACGTTAGTTCAGCGGTGACCCCTGTCCTGTACAACGTCGTGTCCTCCTCCTTCAGAAAACTCTTCCTGAAAGCCCTAGGCTCCCTGTGTCGAGAGCACCACCGCATGGAGCCATGACCCCAGGGAGCCCCGGAGCACCCCCTGAATGGACCCAGCTTCGGGCTCCGGGGATCCCCCAGACACGCCGACCTGGATGAAACAGAAGAATGAATGAAGCCAACAGTGACTGACTGCTCAGTCATCTAGCATTCAGACAAGCAATGTTACCACAAGTAACTCAAGCTCTGCAGTCAGATGCACTCACCTGGACCCCCGGCCCCGCCACTTATCAGCTGTGCATCTGCAGGCGAGCCACTTACACGCTGAGCCTCGGTCTTCCCCTCTGTGTGACGGAGATGAACAGTACCCAGCTCTTAGAGTTGTTCGAAGATTAAAGTGCTTAGCACAGTGCCTAGTGCATAATAATTAATAAATGTTGGCTGGCATATTTTTGTCATCGTTGTTACTGTTCTTATTATTGCTGTTTTTCACTCTCCTGGATGTCCACCACATTCTCCTGTAGCTTTATGCTCATCAGTTGTGGGCTCAGATGTTCTAAGAATTTCCGCAAATGACAAAGGACAGTGCTCCAGAAGCTTACTGCATTGTCACATCACATGAGCTGTAGTAACCTTCTCCAGTCTTGCCCTGTAGGACTCCGTGAGCCGTGGGAGGGCCTGGGGGCACCCACTCCCCTCCCCTGGCCTCAGGCCGGCGTGACTGCCTGACACCAGGCATTGGGACCACGCAGGGTGGGGGACAGATGTATGACTGACCCAGAAGCAGGAGGGTGCCAAACTACTATTTATTTTGGGGATCCTGGGAATACGCTCATGACCACTGCCACCTTCTATGTGGGAAAACAAGAGCAAAGAGAAGTTAAGGAAGGTTCTTCTCCCACTACTTAGTAACTCAGGGACCGAAGGCCAGGCTCGGGAGAGAGCAACAAGGCTCACCAGTGCATCCTGCTGCTTCCCAAGAGTCTGATGGCCAAAGAGCAACAGAAACAAAAGGCTCAACATGAAGGAACTGAGTGAATCACGATAATCCACTCCACAAATTCTATTTGTCAGGCCACCATTAAATAATAAGTATGAATCTTATTCAGCAACATAAACATTATGGTTGGACTATTAAAAAAGAACACAATACAAAGATACATGAGGATATTATGTAGAAATTATTCAGATGCAGAGAAAAGGTCTAGAATGAAGAAGCCCTTACTGAAAATGGTGGGTTTGCTAAGGAGGCACGAGTGACCCGAGCACCGGGGTGGTTTCTGTTCTCTTCATGCCAGGATCTGAGCCTAATGACGCCTGGCACGCAGCAGACCCTCAGATGTCTGGTGAAGGGTGGGGAAACCTGGATTGTTTTCTTCTAATTTGCTGGTGTAATATTGTTTGTATGATATCTAAATAACAAATTTCAAGTAGAAATTAAGTTCCCCCTGTCATCCAGAGAGCCCAGAGCATGGGATGAATCCTCCCTCTGTCACTTGCTAGTTGTGTGACTTAAGTTCCTTCACCTGCTTGGGCCTCATGTCGAGTCTGTGAAATAAGGCATCGTAGCAATTATCCCCTGGGTTTTAAGAATTAAATGGCATCATAAATATGACAAAATGCTTGAAAGTGTAGTACCTAGCACCCGAAAGAGCTCGGTTAGTAGTGGCTGGCATTAATATAAAGGAAGCTCTTGGTCACCAAATGCAAATGATCTTTCTAATTCTGTATTTAAACAACTTAAGCTGTTTGTGTGGTTGGCTGGACCGTTGGCTTGCTTGGCTAAGATCAAGAGACCCCAAAGGTGTTCCTTTCATCAGCCTTAGTCTTACAGCCATGACTTCCCATCAGTGCCAGAATTTTAGCACGCTTCCACCAAACTTTGAAAGATGAAGGATGGCACTGCCCACCTGTATGAGTTTCCTAGGGCTGCCATAACAAAGCACTGCAAAGTATGTGGCTTAAAACAACAGAAATCTATTCTCTCACAGTTCTCAAAGCTACAGGTTCAAAATCAAGGTGTCAGCAGGACCATGCTCCCCAAAGGCTTGAGAAAAGGATCCTTCCTCGCTTCTTCCAGCTTCTGGTGGTTCCCAGCAATCCTTGGCTTGCCGGTTCATCATTCCGATCTCTGTCTTGACGGTTACATGGCAGCCTTCCTCTGCTACTCACTCTCTTAAGACACCAGCCATACTGGATTAGGAGCCCACTTTATTCCAGTATGACTTCAACTAATTACATGAGCAACAACCTTATTTCCAAATAAGATCACATTCTTAAGTATCCGGGGTTAGGACCTGGATATATTTTCGGGGATGTGATTCAACCCAAAACAGCAACCAAACCCACCCTTCTTAGTAGGGTGGATTGCCACCCTTGGGAAAGATCCTTTTATAGAGCAAGAACCAGAGTCAGAGTGGCCAGAGATCCCAAGAGAGAGAAATTAGTGCTCGTCAGAGTTAAAGAAAGAAAGGCAAAGGGAAACTGGGACAGTATATTCAGTGAATGACAAATGTAGTCATGGATTCTTGTCTCTTCTCTAGATAGACATGAAGGGCTTGAAAACTCTGCACTGGCTTTCCAACTGTTTTGTTAATTAAAATGCTAATTCCTTCTGAGCTGGGAAGTCTGCCTAAGCAAGAAGACTAAAAAAGAAACGAAAGCCATCGACATTGGACGTGCCCTTGGTTCATAGTCTTCCTTAAAGAGCTGTTGCAGACTCTAAAGCCAGATCTGGAAGGTTTAATGCAAATCTTGTTATTAAAAGCGTTTCTAAACATTAATGCTGAGATTGCCCAGACTCAGGATGATACATAATGTAATATATTGGCTATATGCTGGCATCCAGCACTACCTCCCGCAGGCGACCCAACACCTCTCCCGATGAAAGAATTTTGGATCCATACTTTTATCGTACGGAGAGCCTTCAGAGCCAACAGTGCCTTTCTAATATGTGACATTTGGTGTCACATTTGGTGACATTTGGTGGAAGTAAATTACTCAAGATGGAAAGCAGCTGTGGTATTAGTGGAACAATGCTTACACCTGTAGGCATGAATCTAGATTTGTTCTGTCACTTGATAGCTGGGTGATCTTAGACAAGTCATTCAAACTCGCTGAGCCATAGCGTTTTCATCTGAAGATGTTCCCGTTGGTATCTACTTCAGAGTATTGTTGACTAAATAATAAGCAATCAGTCACCTAGTTAAATGAGTGGCACAGAGTAGGTGTTCAAAAATGTTTGCTACCGACTGTTACTCATTTCAGAGCTAACACATTCTCCAGGGGGCCAGGTGACCTGGCAAAGGAATCAAGGCATGAAACCAAGTCTCTGGGTTTCAAATTCCATGCCCTCTCTCTGCCACATCCACCGGGAGAACTCTGACATCCATGTGAATGTTGCTCTTACAGCCCAATTTCTCTTCCTTTACTGTAAGCGTTCTCAAATTGCTGTAAGTATTCAGGAAACAAGAGCCACCGTCTCTGTATTTATTATTCTTATCTGGTTTGAGGGTGACTATTATTTCTGGTCTTGCAGAAGTACAGATTTCAGTAACTTCCAATGCTCTGGCATAGTTTTAATTCTGTTATGGCAAAATACACGTAAAATGTACCATTAGTGTCATTTAGCACATTCACAATGTAATGCAACCATCACCTCCGTCCGGTTCCAGGACACTTCCTGGAATTTCTATCCCACAGGAATTTTCTCCTCTTTAGAGGTTAATGACTTTAAATCACACGTTACTGTGTCCGTCGACTCTCGTTTCTATTAGTCTTCTGTCTGTATTTCTGGAGAGATGCCCTAGTCTCCAATCATGGTTATTCAACTACTCCATTATTATCCTATTCTTTTCCTGTTCTGGCTTCCTAGACTTCACAGCAGTTCTGGCATAGCTACAAAGTTTTGTGACCATCATGGTCTCTTTGGGTTTAACTTGAACTTTAAAGTATCTCTTCACCCATTTAATTTTCTAAAAAAAAATTCTTTCAAAAGGGATTTTTTAAAATTTTATTATGTTATGTTAATCACCATACAGTACATCATTAGTTTTTGATGTAGAGTTCCGTGATTCATTGTTTGCATATAACACAATTTTGAAGCCCATTCTGTTAGCTTTCCTAACCCAGTCTGGGAGCTTCCAGCTGCTATTAGGTGAATTTAATCCATTTATGTTTTTTGTGACAAGGGATACGTTTGGATGTGTTTCTGTCAACTACTTCATTTACCAGGCTTCTTCCCTCTCCCCTCCCCAGCCTGTTCTTCCCTTATACCACATACACTGGGTTTTTTTGGTGTCGCTCTCCATTTACTTTTTAGATGTTGGACATCCAGAGATTACTGTTTGTTTTTTTTAACATATATTTAAATGTTTCTTTTCTGCTAACATGTTAATCAATCCCACCCCATTAAATCAAGAATTTTAGCTCAATCTCACTGGTTAGCTCCTCCATCACCAGCCACTCCCACCCCCAGCTCCCATGTTGGAAGCACCTAAGACAGAAAAGAGTCCATCGATGGGTACAAGCGCTACCATTTGCTGGGCATATTCAAGTCTTCAAGGACACAGCAGTGAACTTGTCTTACAAAGTTCTTACTTTCATGGGGAAAGACAAATAAAACACTAAACAAAATGTATTCTATTGGGGATGACCTCATTAAGGAGGAGACCTTTGAGGGATCTGAGTGATGTGAAGGGAAGAAGCGTTCTGGGCAGAGGAAGCAACAGGCCTGAGGTGGGTGCTTGCCTGGGAGTAGCCAAGTGGGCCAGGAAAGCCAGATGGCTGATGTGCAGTGAGCAAGGGGAACAGTCAAGTGTTAGCACGGACCACCAACATTCCTGTTTGCTGCCTTCTCAGAGACACCACCCCCACGCCTCAGCTGCACCTTCCGGCTACTTTACTCTTGAGCTTGTCTGGTTACTTCATCTGCCTACTGAGGTTTTAGTTTTGATTTCCAAGATCTGTAATCCATCCTTTTTGTTCTGGATACCATATAATTTCACTGTGTTCTGATCTTAATCACGCTTGTTTTATAGGATTCTGTTTGCTTTGTTGACTCTTTATTGAGGTTATCACCCTTCACTATATAACGTGTGCTTTTTCAGGAGTCTTAGTTTTTTGTTGATTTCCAGACTAGAGAGTTCCTGTTTGCTTATTTTGTTTAGTGTAAACTGCCCCCACATTACTGTGGGGGACAGGACAATGCCCTGGAGAGGGGTGTGCCAAAAGCTTGTCTTCACAAAAGTCTGGACCCCCATGCCCTCCTCCCTGAGGCTCCACACTCTGCCTTAGCAATGGCCACCTGCTCAGCCCAGGTTGGTGGCATCTCTAAGTGTTGCAGAAGAGCTGGAAGGAATCGAAGAGCCCAGCTGCCCTAAACTGTAATCACCCTGACAAATGCACCAGGCCCCCTTCCAGCTTCCTTAGCCACTCCGAAGCACACAGCACCCCGACCCCATCTTCCCCTGCAGGTTTCTCTGCACGGTCTGAGCTTGCTTCCCTTCATTTCTGTTCTTCTGTACACCTAATTTTGTCTGCTTTTCTCTTTCAGGGACTCCTCCACATGTGAATATATGCTTATTTTTATGGATTTATTATTTCCTTTCCAAAACTGTCTTTTCTGAGATTTTAAACAGGGAGCCCCTGGAGATCACTGGCCACACTATCTCCTCTCAAAATAATGCAATTAATACTCACCAAAGAAACTGTAAGTGCACTCTATGTTTTATTTATAAGGCTGGAACAAACAAGAATATTTTGGGTTTTTTTTTCAAGTTTAAATTAACTAATAAAATGGGAAGAGTAGCACAGAAGCTGCTATTTACAAAAGACAAATATAACTAAAGAAGATAAGTTTTTATTCCAAGATAGGAATAATGGCATATACAAAGTGATCGTTTTATAAACATTGAACTAATCTTTTATACTCATGGGCTTTTTTTTTTTTTCTTAGGGAAAAAAAAGGTTAACTCTTTGGCATCATCTTTTAAAATAATTTCTTCTTGGACTGTTATCCGTTAGAGTGCTTATAAATGTCTGAGATGGATGTGTCAGAATGCCTTCTGATGGTTCATTTCTAAATACCTTTAAATTCTTCCTTCAGTTAGGGACACTCCAAAAGCACTGTGGTGCAGGGCAAGACAGACTCTGGTCCAGGATGCAGGAGTCTACTCGTCCATCTTTCTGCTCCTCTCCTGCACTGTGATCTTAGAGAGGTATATGCTCTCTGCATCTGAACCTTCTCGTCTTCCAAGTGGAGAAATAACTGCACCCACGCGGGCTGTTGGAAGGACTAAGCAGGATCCTAACTGTAAAAGCACACGGTCCAACGCCTGGCCTGTGGTTGGAGACTCTAACACGCTGGCTTGATACACATTCCAGCAGACAAATGGACCGGTGAGCATCATGGAACATTCCTGCTGTCTTCTCTGCTCTGCCCCCTTCCACTCTGGTCGGGGCCAAGCACTCATAAGAGAAAACAAGCTATTTAAGGAACCAAAAACTGAGCTTCAATAAATTACAGTCAAAAGTTTAGCTCTTACCAACTATTTTCTATGTCACTTTGGTTGTCTTTGTTGTTTCAAAGCAAGCAATTTGGTCCTCTTTCCTTTGTAAGGCAAAGTCTGTCTCTTCGGGGTCAACCTCAGCAACCCTAATTTCCTTTCTGAAACCTTTTTGTTTTAAAGAAAGTTTCTTTTCACTTTTGCCCTTTCTAAGAGGTAGGGTATGGACCCTATACTATTTTATTTTAATAGAATCATATGTGCTCTGACGTCAAACCATTTGCTTTACTTTATTAGAGTTGATGCCTTTGGGCTAGCTTCTAGAAGAGCAAACTTGTAGGCAATTACATAATTCTTAGGAAATGACCTTAGTTTCTTCCTATCTCCAACCTTTGTACTTAAAATATTCTTCTGGAATATTGCTTTGTAGCAGGTGATAAGGAAACCCACATAGCCAAAATCCTATCCTTCACCCAAAATACTGGCACCTCTGTGAGAAAATCCAAGAGCGATCCTTTAGCACTACGGGAAAAGTCAGGTTTGTCCATGGAAGCACATGGATGACATGACAGCAGGCAACAGTTTGTTCTTCATGAAACAGGCTTCAACAGAGCCCAGGGCCACGTGGTCTGGCCCTCTACCTGGGAGGCATGGGTTTGCGCTCCTGCTGGCCACCAACTCCGCCTCGATGCTCTCGCTAAGACTCCGTGCACATCCCGGCCCAGGGTTCCCAGCACACAGCACAAGGCGGCGGCACACCAGTCCTGGGGCCGTTCCAGTTCAAGCACCCAGGGATCTCAGATCTCCTGCAGCCTCAAGCGCATGAGGTTCTGAAGGCTCCACTCTCGCAGAGAGCCTGCCGCTGTCGCCCTCAGATGTGCCGCCCCGTCAGAAAGAAGAGCGGCCGGTCTTCCTTGGCGTTGGCGGTCTGGAATTCGTCCCTCAGCCGGAACTGCCACTCGTCTTCCAGCTCGAGGCGGACCACTGTCTGTCGCAGGGAGTTCCGGTCCTGACAGATGACGCACAGGGTGGCACCTGCATGCACGAGCAACGGCAGAGGCATTGAAGAAAACAGGTGAGTTTATCCAAATGCAAGCGACCGCCTGCACTCTGCTTGCAATAAGGAAATACGATGCTGCTTGGGAGGGAAGGACCAGACCACCAGGTGGCCTGCTGTGACTTTTGGAATGCTTCATAATCTTAACAGGACACACAGTGCGACTGTTAGTTGGGGAGGCCAGAAGAAAGGTCCAGAAAGAAGTAGGGGGAAGGAAGGGGAGAGAACCGGAAGCAGACACATGGGTTTGCTTCATGCAAACCAAGTGGTCCCAGCTCCAGGCCTCGGTGAACTGCCCTGTGCTAGCCCGCCTCCCAGCGGGACCCCACCTTCTTATCCCATGCAAGCTGCCTGCATCCAGGCCCGACGCAGCAACCCCCGCTCCCCGCCCAGCCTTGGGAATTCTCCCTCCTCTCCGCTTCTCGAATCATCAATCCATGACTCTGGCTTGTTCATCTGTTCATTCTGTTGGTCTGTCTCCCTCCTACCCACACATCCTGTCCTCCTGTTACACAAAATGTTTCCCGAAGGCAAAGACTGTTAGAAACCTCTTATTACTTCCCAAGTCTTATAGAGCATTGGTGCTCAGGAAACACCTGCTCAACAGTCAGAGTGAAGACGCCCAAGGTTAAGTGCAGATCGGTGAGGGATACCAGCTGGCTGGAAACCATTTTTTTATGTCCTATAGAATCAATGTCTGTCACTCTCAACCACTCTAGCATGACAACAGCTGCAGGAGGAGGAAGGTCAGAGTAAAAGGCATGGAGTAGGCAGCACCCCGAACGAGGAGGAAGAACTCGGGCACCAGGAGGAAGGAACTGAGGGAACTGGGTGCTGATATTAAGAATCTGGGCTGAAGAGGAACACAGAAGTTGAAACTATCTCTTTGCCTAAAAGAAAGGGGATGTGTCTTGTCTCTACCCAGGCAGGTACAAGGGAATGAGAGTCACCGAGGGATTGCATCCCAGCCTTCTTGTACTTTCCTGGATAATTGGGGCCGTCATATTTCCTCTCTGAGCCTCAGTTTACCCACGGGCAAATAAGGATGAGGACCAGAAGTCACCTCCTCAGATGCACTGGGTAATGAAAGGCATTCAAATCAAGGCCCAGAGTAAAAGGTATGAGCAGTTACCTTTCAGAAAATGAAACTTTTTCAAAAAGCTAGCTCCCACAAAAGAATCACAGAGGTATAGCAGGAGTCCACTAAACATGAAGTCAGAGCAGCTGATGTTTCGAGAGTGGGGCCTGGAGCTCACATAGCACACAGAAATCTGAAAAAGAAGAAATCCAAGAGAAACCATTGTTTTCCCTGAAATTCTCAACCACATGACGCTAAGGCTTTGCATCCAACAAAGACTAACTGCTTGGTCCAGCTCAAGGCTGCTGGCGCGGGGGGAGGCGGGCAGGTGCAGAGACGATATTTAGTGTTATTTTCAAATCTAAATCCTAAAAATCAATTCCGGGAAATTTCTCCCGATTATCTACTCATTAATTCATCCGAGCATCAGAAGTGTTTTGGCATCAGAGTGGCTTTCATTCCTAATTTATGATATCGGGGGCAAAGCATTTAAACTCTCTCAGCTATAAAGGGAGGTAAACACCAGAGGCAAAGGAACTGAGTAGCAGTTACAAGTCCAAGTCCTGGACGGTGGCGCATCTGTTTTAGGAATACGGCAGACTCGCGGGCTCAGCGGCCGGGGCGGGGGGCCTCTGAAAGTCACCTGAGATCCCAGGTTAAGGTAGCAGTCCACCGAGAGCACAGGGTGGCTGTGGTTCTTCAGGGAGAGCGGGAAGAAGCGGTGGCTGTGGTGCTGCAGAAACTTCTCCAGCAGCAGCTGCGCGGGGGCCGCGAGGAACGTGTGCTTGCTGTCCGGGGCGCAGATGTACTGGGCCGGCACAATGGGCACGGCGTTGTCAGACACCTGCGCGAGGAGGCATGGTGTCAGCCGCTCCCAGCCACTGCCCCCAGCCAGGCTTCTGGGAAGGAGGGGGAGTGGCCCTGGCCCGGAAGACTCTCTTGCAGGGTAGGGCTGGCAGTGGAGAACCCAACCTTCAACCATAAAATTCTCTATTAAGAAAAACTGGGCTTTTCCCCAAGTGGGCCGTGTGAAACTAATGAATGTGATCAGGAAGAACTGTCACAGTGACCACTCCATGCAGAAAACCGGCCGTCTGGTCTAGAAAAAGCAAGAGAACCCACGGAGCTTGGGAACTCTCCCCCAAATCCAAGGATGCAAACTTCTGGGAAGGGTCGGCCTCCCCTTGCCCCCAGATCGTATCCACCTCCCACCTACCCCCACTGCACTTCCTGCTGACCCCTGCCAATCCTCGCCCACCACCTCCTACTCCAGAGCCAACATGCTTTCCAGGCTGCAGCCAGACAGACTGTCGACATAAATCAAACTCATCAAATCCTCCGCTGGACACCCATCAGTGGTTTCTCACTACTCCTACAGAAAGTCCAGAACGTTCCCATGGCTGTTGAGGCCCCGCCTACTCTCTTCAGCCCATCTCTGCCACTCCCCCTGCCTGTTATGTTTCTTCCACACTCACCTCCTCGCCCCAGCTGCTCAGCTTCTTCACCCAGATTCTTCCCTGAACCTGGATACAAAGCCGTTTCTCACCGCCCCCGGGTCTCTGCTTTAATGTCACTTTCTCAGGGACGCTCACACAGACTCCCACCCCCACCCTTCACACGGGGAGGTCTCCCTGTGACACACATCACCCTAGCAGTGCCTGTCACAAGGACACCTCGCTACCTACTTAACATCTGCCTCAGCTGCAAGGCTCTACACTCCTGAGTGAAGGGACGGTGTGCTCAGGAAACACTTAATGAGTAAATGAAAATAAGTTATTTCATTCAGATGAATGATCACCAAATGTTCCCAGCTCTCCTATATATAATCAACATGCAACTAAACCCAATGGAAAAGAAGATGATGCTCAAAATAGGAATGAAGATAAAATATATAAGCTAAAAAATGATACTGAGGGATATAAAGAAAAATTAGTTTTAAGAGCATAACAGGCTCCAGGTGCCTGGGTGGCTCAGTCAGTTAAGCGTCTGCCTTCAGCTCAGGTCATGATCTCAGGGTCCTGGGATCGAGCCCCGCATTAGGCTCCTTGCTCAGCAGGGAGTCTGCTTCTCCCTCTGCCCCTCCCCACTACTCGTGATCTTTCTGTTGATCTCTCTCAAATAAATAAAATCTTTAAAAAAAAGCACATCAGGCTCTTTGATAGACTTAATGGGATAAAGATCAGAATTTTAAAAATTAAACTTATAAATCTAACACAATTTCAATACGAAATCTTAGTGGTGGGGGTGGGTAGGACTTAATGATTCTCAAGTTATTCTGGAGGTACAGACCTTTTATTTAAATGTCTTCCTACTTTTTAAGAGAAATGAGCATGGACTTTCCCTTTCAAAGAAGGCTTCACTCCCTGCTGATCGGAAGGGGCAGATGGGCAGGGGTTGGGGACTGGTATCCAAATTCAGACCTGGCCCAGCTCAGGATAGGTAAGCCACCACATAAGGAGTTAGTGGAGACAGGAAGGACAGAGGCTGGGAGGAGGCAGGTGGCATTGGGACTGGCTGACGTCCAGCACCAGGGCAACATTCAAGGTAGATGGAAGGAAAAATCAGAGAACGGGGCTCCAGCCCAGGGATCGGAGAGACATGCCAGCCCCATATGGCTTCCTGGAAGACACAGACCTCTGAGGGTTTGCTGCGACTTTGCACCTCAAATTCTGCAGCTAGCTCGGCCGTAATCAGACCATGTTTCTCCCCACCAGGAGGCTGGCTCATGCACAAACGGCTCAGCTCCCGAGCCAGCCTGTTGGTGCGCTCGGTTGTTTGGGCAGGCCCTGTCCGGGGGCCCAGAGATGAGCAGGGCGCCCCGCCCCCCCAGGAGCTCTGTCCAGGAGGGAAGCCAGACCAGTGAGCACAGAGCATAGCCAGAGGACAGCTAGGTCGGCGGCGGGAGTGTGGGCGGGATGGATACCAGGTGCTGATGAGAATCTGAGTTCAAGAGAAACCCGACAGCATGTTTCCCTTCCCGAGGCTCCCAATTAAAACCCTTTACTAACACCAGCCAGCGATCAAGCCCACCCCACGGACCGGCCTCCCCCCAGCTCCGAGCCTGTTTGCGCACCACGACAGCCCCGGCAGCAGACTCAGCGGGCGCACTCACCTTGGACGTGATGTGGAAGGACCTATGCCCACCCACGGCAATCTGCTTCTTCATCACACTGAAGCGGTTGAATCGGCAGAGCAGGAGGCCAGCGCTGTGCACGCGCAGGTTGAAGTCCACATCGTCACACATGAACCTGCTCAGAAGCAAAGGAGGGAGCTGATAGGACTGGATGCGGCCGCCCACCCCCCACACACCCCACCAGCCACATGGAGGGTGTGCCCCTGTTGGGGGGGGGGGCGTCCAGTGGTGGGGTAGGCTCCTTCCTACCATACAGAGGCATGTGAATAAGGCAAAACAAACAAGGAGAGCAGGCCCAGCTGTAGCTTGTCTGTACCAGGGCAGGCAGCATATACCCAAGGCTAACAAGACAGAAGCACGCCCATGGGCTGACCCGACGCTACAGGCCCTGCATGAGGGACTCCACAAACACTGGTTAAAGAGAAAACAACAAACTGCCCAGAATAAAAACAGAAGCCACTTTTTACAGCCGAGGAAAACAAGACTCAGGAATGGAAGGCCTGTGCCTAAATTGCAAAGCTGGTAAGTGGCAGAACCCAGATTCCCAGCAGGGCGACCTAGCTTCCAGATTGACCTCCTACGAGGGCCATCTTGGCTGTGTGCCCACTGCCTGGCCTACAGGGATGCCTGATAAGTGTTAGCAAGTGGGTTATTCTTCAGATGTGAGCGCTTCTGTGACTAGACCTGGAGAGAGTATCACACAGAAGTCACTTTTTAGTTTTAAAGCAATGTGTTCCAAGAAGGAGACAAAAAAGCAAGAGAAACAATGTAGCACATATGTTGTCACTAAATAAAGTATCACGTGGACTGAGGAAGAAAATTGCATGATCTTACGCAAATCTCCCCTCCACAAAATTATACAATGCAAAATTTTTTTAAACCTGAGAGCTGAAAGCAGGGCCAGACCAATGCTATGGGCAGGAGGGCCCTGGGCCCGCGGCCTGTGCTGACGGCCGCAGCCGGGCAGGACTCACCGATTCTGGTTGTACTGCACATTCTGGGTCAGGTCCACGTTCAGGATGATGAAGTCATGCACGTGGCAGCGGGAGAAAGGCTCACGCACCTCACCGCTCCCCGTCTTGCTGGACCACTTCCGCATGCCAATCAGGGCGTAGTGGGTGATGTTGGGGGACGCCTCGATATGTTGCATGATGTGCTTCAAAGACACGTTTCTTTCTGACCAGGAAAATTCCCTGCTCGAAAGAGGAAGATTGATGTCCCTGGGTTGAGGCACCCAGAGCAGCAAGGCCCTCTGGCTCTGGCCTGGGGGCTGCTTTCCAACGGGAGCTTATGTGCCGGCAGGTAGGGTTGGTGTGGCTAGAATCTGTCACGACCACCCCTGAGTTTCCAGGTGCCATGCCGGGCATGTCACATCTGCTATCATTTATCCTCACGGCAATCTCATGCCATGGACTATCACCCCCGTTTTACCAATGAGGAAAAAGAGGCTCTGAGTAGCTTGCCCAGTGTGACAAATGGGACTTGGATTCAAACAATACCGTCTCCGAAGCCCTTCTTCCCAACCCGTGCTTTTGCATTTCTGGTTGCAGATGCAGTTGCATCCCAACTTTGCATTTCTGGTTTGCAGACCTGAAGGTCAAGCGGTGGGGAGAGTGCCAAGCTTTCCACGGTGCGTTCCAGGGAGAGGATGGGAAGGAAGAAGGTAGTGCACCAACGCACCAACCCCCACCCCAACTGGACTGCCAGTGTCTGTGGTCCGTGAAGACAACAGGGACACCTGATGACTAGGGAGGGGGCTGATGGCAGGGGCTCCAGGGAGAGGAGTTGGGCCCAGGCATGCGGTTCAACTGTTCTGGACCCAGCTTGCTTTTCCCCCACCAAGGAGCTTCAATAAACTCCCCAGGGCCCTGGCCAGCCCCAAACCCCAGGACGTTAACTGCTGCTTCAGAATGGAATTCAGGAAGGCAGAATGAAAGCCAGTTCTCTCCCCGTCTCAGCCCTTGGCCACATTCTTGCCTTTGGAAGAATGTCTGGGAGAATACTGGAAGCAAAGAGGAATTGCTACTCCCATAAGCCACATGTAGCTCTATCATTCAGAAAACATCTTTTTCTAGAAAAACAGCAATCAGTGGTCATTGTTTCATTAGGATATCAGTAGCATAAAAGAAGTAAACGAACCTTATGTCTCTTAAAAAAAACAACAACAACAAAGGGCACCTGGGTGGCTCAGTCGGTTAAGCATCTGCCTTCAGCTCAGGTCATGATCCTGGGGTCCTGGGATCGAGCCCCTCGTCGGGCTCCCTTCTCAGGGGGGAGTTTGCTTCTCCCTCTCCCTCTGCTCCTTCCCCTGTTCCTTTTTCTCTCTCTCAAATAAATAAAATCTTTAAAAACATTTTTAAAAAGCCAAAAATAATCAGGTTAACACTAAACTGAAACATTCATGTGGTAAAATCACAAAAGGAACTATTTTACCAATGATGATGGGAGTCTATCTACCGAGCCTTTCCCATTTGTGCTGCTCTCCTGCCCACCTCCAGGCACGCCGTTCAGAGTCTAAGTTACCCTCATGACAAACCTCCAGCACAGGTCTTAGTGCCCCTTCAAAAGATGAGGAAACTAGAACCCAAAAAGAGTTCAGTTGTTACCCTAATGTCACACAGCAAATGAAAATACACCCGGGTGTTAAGAGTTAGGCTAGGGTAGGGGGCAGGGTCTGTCTGGAAGGCTACAGGAGGGAATTTCTAGGGCACTCGTGATGTTCCATTTCTTCAAACAGGAATTGGTTAAATGGGTGTTCAGTGTGTGAAAATTTCTGGATATTCATCATAGTTTCATTTTTTGTGGATACTTTATTATTTTTTTTAAGATTTATTTATTTATTTGAGAGAGAGCGTGCTCGTGTGCCTGAAGAGGAGGGGGGGGAGGAGCAGAGGGAGAGGGAGAGAAGCAGACTCCCCACTGAACGGGGAGCCCGTCATGGGGCTCGATCTCACGACCCTGAGACCGTGACCTGAGCTGAAATCGAGAGTCAGATGCTTAATGGACTGAGCTACCCAGGCAACCCTGTAGGTATATATAGTGACTATACATTGTGTGATTTTCTGTATTGATGATACATCAACACAATTTTAACAAAATTAAAACCTCAAAATAAAGCTGGGCTTGGAACAGGAGGCTGCCCCACGCAGAGCCCTACCCACCGCACACCATGCCTTCTAAGATGAGGTGTCCCCCCGTGGTCCTCAGACAGTAGCTGAGATTCCCCCGCTGAAAAGGAACAGGGTCGGGGGAGGCATCTCACCTGCTTCTCTCCCCGCCACAGTCGACGTCCACCACGTTCCACATCACGCAGGAGTCGTCGGAGATCACAATGAAAGGCCAGATGTCCTGTGGCTTGATCCCAAGCTCCTCCTGCCGGTTCCGCTCCAGCTCCAGGTTGTGGTAAGACAGCTCCTTGATCAGGAAATGGGCGGCACCTAAAATGGGCAAAACCGCTCGCACTCCCCGGTCTGTCCTCCGGGGACACCCACACAAGACCAGAGCCCCGGTGAGAATTAGAGCGGCTCATCAAGGCCCACCCCGAGACCAGCCAGCTCCCGATGGTTCTCATCTCCATCACCAACCTGCACACACACCTGTCTGCTTCTCCTTGCTGATCACAGAGAATGTGAATTAAGTCAATAACCAAACATCAAAGAAGAAAGAATATTCCAGCAGATCAAAGCAGCTTTAAAACTCAAAAAGCTTGATGAAAAATGTTAAGCATGTTCATCTCTAGAATATTCTCCCGAGCCTCCATTCACAGAAATTTTACCGAGTACGGCAAGTTCAACAATGCCTACCAACTCCAGCACTGTTGAAGATACTGGGGAGCACCAGCATGATGTGGTTGGGCCAGTATTTCTTATAAATAGCCATTTCATACTCCTTGACAACCAGCACATGCAAATGGCTGGCACCATCCATTGCGTGGTACAGATTAAAGAGTCCATGTTCATGACGGCCAGTGGTCGGAGTGAATGTCGGACTTTTTATACATTCGTGACTCTGGAAAACAGGAATAACGAGGGGAAGTGTTTGTAAATATGGTCACAAGCACTCCCCTCCCTTTGAAATGTGACTCTGCAGCCTCTTCCATCAAATGATGGAGCCTAGAATCCAGCTTAGCCTTGGGACTTGCTTTTACCAATAAAACAGTGAAAATGATGGTATGCCAGTTCCGAAACTGGCCTCCAGAGGACGGACACATTCTGCCCTCTCTTAGAACCCTCTCACGGATGAGCTGGGGCTGGCGGCTGGAGGAGAGACCACAGGGAGCAGAGATGGGACAGGCACCCCATGGAGACCACCCTCCCCGGCCATCCCCCAGCCAACCTGGCAGCTAAGCACAGACATGAGTGAACGCATCCAAGCCAGGGTCACCACACAGCAGGACCAAGCCCAAGCTGCTAGACCAGAGAATCAGAAGCTAAGTAAGTACTCATTTGGGAGTGGTTTTCTTATGCAACCCAAACTAACCAGAATCTATCAATTACCCAAATGCATTACCCTGCCAAATTAGCATCGACTGTGTGCTGAGTATATGTTATTCTGGATGATTTAAATCCCTCAATCCCTTATCCATACACCCTAGCTCCTTATACACTCGGGTTGTGAATCTTTTATATAAATAACTAGGTTTTCTTCCATTTTGGCCGAGCGAGGTCTTCTACTCCTTCTGAGTTCCTCAGAGCACATGCTACAAGGCTGTGATGTAGCTGGTGCCCTTAAGTTCTGGTGGGCACTGGCTGGAAAAGTGACTGGGGTAACAGAGAAATCCTCCACCAGGGCAACTGTCCACCCCAGCCCACGGAATAGGAGACACCCTATGATAAAGGCCCCACTGGATGTTTACAAATGTTTTCAATGCTCGGTAGAAGCCTGCCGGGTCTGAAAGGCTATTCAACCCCATCATACTGGCCCTCTCACCCAGAGAAGGAAAAGCAGCGTTCCACACAAGGCTGACACTGGCTGGGGCTGGTGGGAGGGCAGCAAGCTGACCCTGAGAGTGTCAGGCTAATCTGCCAAAGCAGGCATCCCTAAGAGGAGCGTCCCTAAAGATGCTGGTCGCAGAGACAATGAGTTATGAAGAACACTCTCTTCAAAAGAGAGAAAATTTATCTTTTATGGATGACGTGATGCACCATCTGGGATTCGCTTCCAAATAACAGAGGAAGGCAGAAGAAGACAGACGGATCGAGGCTGGCTGTGAGATACTAGGCTAGTAGCATCGGCTAGGTAACAGGCCTGCGGGGGTCACCACACTATTCTACTACCTTGGCCTGTTTCAAATGTTCTGTAACAACAGTAAAGACAAGGTGGGGAAGGGATGAACATCTACGGAGCACCTGTCATTCATCATCCAGGCACTGTGCAGGTGTCCTACGTCGGTCATTCCAAATCATGCTCTCAGGAAGCTCCTGCGAGAGTTACTAGTGCCTGGTAACTAGTTCACAGATACGGGAACTGAGGCCCAGCAGTATTCAGGGACAGGTTCAAATAACACAACTCAAAAATGGTAGAGCGAGGTTCGAACTGGAGTCGGAGTGACCCTAAAGCCCAAGCGCTCCCCAGCCTCCTCCAAGTTCAATCACCATATCCATCCCCACCTGCCCCACCTGCCCCTGACTCATCAGGCAGCTCCGGTCTCCTGCTCAACGGTCACTGGCAGCCACTGTAATGTCACCCCCTGGACTCAGAGCCAGTACCTTGTCTGTGACAAGGGGCAGCCGCATGCTCTCCAGCTGGCCTCCGGGTTGGCTGAAGACAAAGTGGTGCTCCTTGGACTTGGGGATGATGAAGTGGAGTTGGATTTCCTCTCCTAGCATGGAGTAAGAGAAGGCAAAGGCGTGCAGGGTGGACTCATAGAGCTGAGGTGTGAGGGGAAAGGACAGAGCCTGTCATCAGAGTCCGGTGTTACTTCCCAGAAGAACCCAGGCCCACTGTGGGCATGACAACACAAAGCTCATTGCCACCGCCCCACAGCACGAGAAACCCACCCACAGGTTGACCCCGGTACAAAGTGTGGACACCCAGGTCTCATTACCGGGCAGACACACTGGAGCCCACACCCACTCAGACGGAGACCTCTCCATCTTTAATTCTGATCGTGCTTCACCCAGTGATGCCCCTTTAGACGCCAACCCCTTCTGGACTCTGGACTTGACCCAGAGGCATGCTAGGTTACCAACAAAAGCTTTCACACCATAGATCTCATTTTTTGATTCTAATAAATGTATTTTCCATCACAGGCATGATGCATTGCATACACCTGTACACTCTTGCCACCCTCACTCTGTCTGGGCCCCCTTCCATCCCTTTGGTGCTGTAACGAACAATCCTATGAAGCAGGTACCGTCCCCACTCCCACTGTATGGATGTGGAAACTGACAGAGATCTTGGTTCACCCCTATCCCCGGGCCTACCCTCCCATCCCCTCATCCCTTGTCTGCCTGCACTGCCCCCTGGCGTGACACCCCCCCCACCCCCCGTGCCACATGGCTCTGCCCAAGCCTCCTTCCCTGACCCCTCTCTGCCTCCAGTGGACAGCCCCTCCCCAGACTGGCTGCTAGCATGTGTGCTGCACTCCTGAGAATCCCTAAGGCCTGGAGAAGGCAGACCACAAACAACACCCCAACTATAAACTCCTACTGTGGTTCCACTAGAACCACAGAGCCCTTTGGGAGCAGAGATGAGACAGAAATAGATTTTGACTTGGGGAGGGAGCAAAGGGGGACATAACTGAGGAAGCTTCATAAAAAAGATCAGGGAGGCTTGAGAGAGGGGGAAAGACAGCAGGGGGAACTGAGGCTGGAAAGGCCAGCAGGGAGCGGGTGTGTGCCCTTCAGCACTCCTCATGTGGCCTGGTTCTGAGTCTCCTGCGACCGTGGCCCCCAGACCTGAGCGCCCCTGGACACAGGGGCACAGTCCAGCCAGAGCCCAGGGTCTCCAGAGCTCGGTTCTGTTAATTCACTGCAGACAGCGACCAAAGTGACCGTGACTAAAATCCATGAGTCTCCTCCGGTTCTTTAAATTTCAAAATTAAAAGAGAACGTTTTCACTTATATTTTCTCTGCTTTGAAAGAAAAATTTCATCTCCAAGGAGGAAATGTTAGGACAGCTTATCTGGAACAAACAGAATTACTGACTATTTTTAATTCTTTAAAAAACCGCTCATATGCATTTTCTAATTTTGTCTCCAGTACAACTGAATAGTTTTAAAAAAATCAGTCTTGATGCTACTTCAGTGAGAGCTAAGCTCCAGGCCGGGCAGACTTGGGAAAATTAAAGCCACTATCTGCTTTTCCCCTCTGCAAAAGGGACAGAGCTGGCAAGCCCGTGCTCAGGCTGCCGCAGAGCCTTCTGGAAGCAGCCAAGGGCGTGAGCTATCCTGCACACCCCTGGGGGCTTCGTAGGTGTCTGACTGGCTCCCACCACCTCCAGCTGCCCCAGCTGCTTCTTCCTCCCCTTTCCCTTACTTAGGTCCAAAATGAAACACTAACTGTAAAATCCCGCCTGCTATCTGCTTCTTCATGACCAGCCTCACGGGCCCTCTGTGAACTTGCAAAATGCAGCTTTGCCCACATTAGGCCACTCCTTGGAGTTGTCCCTGAAAATGTCCCCATTCGGCCTTCCCTACAGCACCTGATGCCTTTTCTTAAAATGTTTTATTTAAATTCAATTTAGTTAACATACAGAATGTATTATTAGTTTTGGGGGTAGAATTTAGTGATTTGCCCGTTGCGTACAACACCCAGTGCTCATTCCAACACGTGCCCTCCTAATGCCCATCCCCCATAACGCCATCCCCCCACCCACCTCCCCTCCAGCATCCCTCAGTTTGTTTCCTAGAGTTAAGAGTCTCTTATGGTTTGCCTCTCTCTCTGTTTTTATTTTATTTTTCCTTCCCTTCCCCCACTACGTTCATCTGTTTTGTTTCTTAAATTCCACATAGGAGTGAGATCATATGTATTTGTCCTTCTCTGACTGAACCTGATGCCTTTTGTGGTGTACTCTCTGCCCCACCTTCCCAGTGTCCTCTTCTGGGACCACCCACCCCTTGCACTTTAGGGTCCAGCGATGCCCGACTAAAATCACTTCTAATTCCCCCAGAGACCCCATGTCTCCGCTCTACTGCAGACACGGTTCCCTCTCTTATCTGCCTCGGCCCCTTGGCAAATCCTTATTGATTCTTCAAAACCCTCTCCTCTGCTCCCCGCCCAAGACGGTATCTTCATTTATAAAATGGGGATAATGTTATTGCCTTGCAGGGTTTTAGTGAGAATTAAGTAAGAAACCAGACAGGAGAGTTTCCTCTCCGGTGGGTGCTGAATGGGTGAAGGTGTAGCTTAAACACTGACACCTCCAGGTGACCAACCAGAACGGGACAGCCAGAGCCCAGGGTCAGTAGCCTTATCCATTTACCCCAGTGTCTAAAGTAAGTATCATTTTCTAGCACGTAAAAAGGTTAGAGGAAGTACTGACATATCAAAAGTGCCTAGCACGTTGCCTGGTATGCAGTACGTGCTCAGTAAGTGCATACTGCTCTCCTTCTCTACATAATTTCTATGCTTCACCAGTACTGCCTTTCCTGCCAGCCCTCATTGTTCTGAGGTTTTGTGCCCGTGCATCTCTCCGTCCCTAGACCGTGAGTCTTGACTGGGGACAGAGTTTATTCATCTCTCTGACTGGTACATCAGCACTCAAGTGTCTGCTGCGCTGAACTCACTTCAGAAATTGCTAGAACGTCAAGAAAATGAAGACATGCACAGTCAGTTAACTCTGCCACTAGTAAACGTGTAATCCCAGGAGAATCACAGTTTCTGTGCTGTCAGCAATAACTCTGGAGATTACTGAAGGGAACTGGAGGTACACGTAGACCAGGAAGCAAAGGCTTCCAGAACTTTCCACATCCCACTCTGGAATGAAAACTGAAAACATCAGGAGAAGAGAGAACCAAGGGTGTCGGCCAAGATGGAGCGTGCGGGAGAGCTGCCCGCTCCAGGGCTCCTGGAGACTGGGGAGCCCCGTGCCCCGCAGCCTACCTGGTAGCGGGGGTGGAAGCCCATGTACTGGTAGCACTGCTCACAGTGGTGGTATGTGTTGTACGCCGCGTACTTGGACAGCCTCATCCGCGCCGTCTGACGCCGCACGTAGAGCTCCTCGGGCTTCCGGGACATGGCCCTGTCTGCAGGAAACGCCAGCGTCACAGGGCAGCTGCAAGCAGAACAAGCCTGCCCTCCGCGCTGCTCTTCTGATCGCAAGGAACAGAGGTACTGTGATAGGACTTCCTGTGACTGCACCCGCTGGGGCCCCGGGGTGACTCGGCTGGTCAGAAATAGCCGAGACTCCGCGGGAGAAGCCAACAGACTCTGTTCACAAGGGGTCTTCCTAACGGACATACAAATGTCTTAGACACAGATTCAAGGATTCGCTCCAGGACAACGCAAATGGATTGCCGACCTCGGATGCAGATACCATTTTGCAGATGAATCGCCTCTGGTTTGCCAAAATGACTGAGCCAGATTAAGATTTTAACCCTAAACCTGGATTAGAGACTGGTCTATGTGAAGGATTGGTCAGCGAAAGTGCTTCAAATAGAGAGAAGATAGAATTCTTGGCGTGACATGGAGACTGGTGAGTATCCTCCTTCCCTTTCCACTCACCCAACTTTCCTAGCCTGCGCTTAAAATCATACTAGCCCACTCATATCTGGTGTTTGCTGATGGTGACCCTGAAGCCCTGCGGGGTGTTAAGACCCTGAAAGTCAGTGGTCCCTGAAGGAGGAGGGCGAAAACAAGACACTGAGGCTAGAGAGGGAAATATGTGCATTTCATTAGGACAACCCCAATTCATGCATTAACATCCATGTCTCGTATCCCCTATTAACCAGAACCTTGAGGATATTCTGACCGTGACACACTCCCAGGAGCGCACTCATCCCTGTCCGCATGTGTGGAGCCAGCAGCCTGCCTTCTCGAGAAGATCCCGTCCTTTGTCCACGGAGGCAGTGACCTCAGTTCTCTCCCAGGCACCACTGGTTATTTCCCACCACCAGACAACTAAGCTCATCGCCAACACAGTTCAGCGCAGCCCTTTAAGAGGCTCTTCCTACATACTCTGGAAGAAGGTGGAGCAGGAGGTTTATGGGGCTGACCTTCGCTCTTTACGCTCTGAAGGTGGGAGCAAATCAGACTGGCGTCTTCATACTTCGGGTCATGAATAATGTAGTCGAAAGGCAACTTCTTGAACAGCTCCAGGTCTGGCCAGGGGTCACTGAGCTGGAGGTAATGCCAATCTGATTCCTCTCTGAGATCTGTAAGATTGGTAGCAACATAGGCGACAAACTAGGAAGTGAGAATGACTGATTTTTAAATGTGTACAAGGGTGGGCGCCTGGGTGGCTCAGTTGGTTAAGCAACTGCCTTCGGCTCAGGTCATGATCCTGGAGTCCCGGGATCGCGTCCCGCATCGGGCTCCCTGCTCGGCAGGGAGTCTGTTTCTCCCTCTGACCTCCTTCCCTCTCATGCTCTCTCTCTACCATTCTCTCTCTTTCTCAATAAAAAAATAAAAAAATAAAAAAAAAAATGTGTACAAGGGTGACGCTTGTGGGAGAGCCGTTGCTGAGTCTATGGGTTACCAGGGGATGCTACTGTATCTTGAAGGCTCCTGGAACATATCGCATTTTCAGGATTGTTCCAAGGAAGCAAGAGGTGCCTTTGGGTCTACCTCTTATCCATGGCCTGTGCTGTGTTTCCTGTGGGATGGGTTTGTGTTTCTGGCTCCCATGTTGACTTCAGCTCCTCCCAATATACGTACTGCTTGCTCTGCACGTCCCCCCAGCAAGCCCCACCCCATATGCAGCATATTGGTTCCCACTGCCAATGGAACCTAACATAGTTCTCGTTCTTGTCTTACATCTAAATGCTACAGAGCCAGTATCGCCAACTCCTCATGCACCTCTAGAAAGCCTAACTGTTCAAGCCCACCGGTTTCTCCCTTCTGAATGCTAACACTACTCATGGCCCAAATTCTATCTTACATCTTACATCATAACGTATAATCTATGATGCTCAATCAATGCTTGGTGGCTAAAAAAGTAAAAAAATCTAGACGGTCCAACACAAATTACGTAACGTATTGATTTTTATAGCCATGGTATGTACACATGGGCAGAGTGTGTGTCCATAAGAGAAGAAACAAACAAAGAAGAGGGAGAGGCATGTTTATTGCATGTGTAATAAGTGCTCAGTGCTTCATATGTATCTTAATCTTCATAACACCTCTTAAAACAGCAATTATCCATGCTTTCCCAAAGAGAAAACCAAGGCAATAGGAGAGTTTCTGAGAAAATGGGCTTTGAAGTTGAACAAACTGGGCTCAAATCCTGTCTTTGTCATTGGGATATCCAAGAAAGTGAAGACACAGAGACTCAACAGGTCTGCTGATTGTCATCTGAAATTCAGTTCCAAACTGTGGGAGGGGAGGTGTGAAAGCTCAGAGCTTGGATGAAGAGCCTCCCTCCTCTTCCCTTCAAAGGAAAGACTACGGGATGGATGAGCTTCCTTGGTTCCAAATTTTCTCCATGTCAAAACTCAAACACAGTCAAGAACATCTAAAGAAGTGTGTTTGCAAATGGCAGGACTTTCTTCTCTTTTAAGGCTGAATGATATTCCACTGGGTGTATATACCACGCTTTTCTTTATCCATCCATCTGCTAATGGACATTTATCCATCAACAGACAACACATGGTTGTTTGTGTATCGTGCCTACAGTGAATAACACTGCAGTGAACATGGTAACTATGAACGTGTCAATTAGCTTGATGGTCGTGGTGATTTCACAATGTTATACACACTTTAAATGTATACAATAAAAATAAATAAAGAGAAGCGCTATTTATATGCCAGTGCAATCTACTCATTCCCTTTCTTTGCAACACAGACAGGCCTCCTCACGCAAATTTTAATTCATAAAGCAACAGATTCGTTTACCAGACCAAGTGGATGAACCATTGGAGGCCACGTGAGGAGGTAATGGAGCGTCAAACAGCTGTTCAAAGGGAGTCTTACCTTAATCAGGGCAAATTCTGTTCCCTGAATAAGGAGAAATGCCTTTTCCCCACATATCGTATACTTCCATTTTGCCCTAAGCTGTGAACCCATGCGCTCAGCTGCCTGAGTGGGAAAGGCCCCTGATGGATAACTGCTTTCTAGAAGCAGCCATCAAATCCGGTTCAGCCCCAGCTCTGCCATCTCCCAGCTGGGCACCTGAGCATGTTACTTACCAGGAAATAAGCAATTATTCTCACTGGGATGTGCAGAAAGTTAAATGCGGCAGTTTACGTAAAGTACCCAGCACAGTGCCTAAAGTATCCAGCACAGTGCCGGACACTTGGAAGATACGCAGTAAACAGCAGTTATTTTCAGTGTAGCAATTTTATCTCCAGGAAGGCCTCCTAGGCGCTATTCTGATATTGAGCAAAACAAGGGCAAACAAGGGAGAGATAAAAGCACCCCTCAAGGCCCCCGGGGATGAGTGGGATCACTGATCTGAAAATTCCATCTAGATGGGAAAAGACATCAAGTCACCCAAGAAACTGACTAAAGAAGATTCTAAGCCCACGTGTCACCACCGCATAACTCACTGATATTGATCTCCTCTTCATCATAAACATCCACTTCTGTCAGCCGGATGAGCATTCTGGACAAAATACTGAGGAACTGCAGGTAGGCACCTGTCTTCCCAATCTGTGAAGACATCAGAATTGGAGCCAAGTTGGCTCAGTATGCCCTGTCTACGTGCAGGCACCAGCTGGAGCACTGGACATGCTTTGTGTCACCTATCTCTTTCAAAGACCCCACCTCATTAAAGCAAGAGCCAGGGGGATGCAAAGCCATTTGAGGGGAAATGTGACCTAAAGAAGGATGGCAGGCCACAGGGGGACTCCCGTGAGCAGCAGACCTGCCTGCTTATAAATCATGGCAATGCATCTCTACTTTTAATTGGCCACATTTTCTAAGCTGTTAGAAATAGGACTTTAATAGCAAACTGAAGGAAAGGTTGCTTCAAAAGATGAACTGACAATATAAAGCATAATAATGTCTTAGAAGAATCTTGTATGGGGGCGCCTGGGTGGCTCAGTCGGTGAAGAGTCCAACTCTTGATTTCGGTTCAGGTCAGGATCTCAGGGTCGTGAGATCAAGCCCCGCATCTGGCTCTGTGCGGGGCATGGAGCCTGCTTGAGATTTGCTCTCTCCCTCTCCTGCTGCCCCTCCCCCCCATGCTCTTGCACTCTTTCTCTCAAAAAAAAAAAAAAAAAGAATCTTGCATAATTAGATTGCTATTCTTGTGTTAATCGATAGGTCTCTAATAAGAGAACAAAATCTGTTGTGCAAGACTTAAAAGTCTGGCATCTCATTTCTCTCCTCCTAAGGCCAGGAAAAGAAAATGATTTTTCTTCTCTTCCTGTTTTTCTTCTTGTATCATAGAGTCCCTCGCTCCCTCAGCCACACACCAGGCTAGGACACTGTTGAGTCTTAGTTCACTTTGGTCACAGGTGGTTAAACGGGCACCTGTGGGCTAACCTCCCACCCTGTTACTCTGGGAATGTGCTTTCCAAGTTCTCAGCTCAATGCCTGGCTCATACTCTGTACTCAACAAATGTGGATGAACAGAACTAACTAACTTTAGAAAAGAAAATATGAAATACAACCGGGTGAGCCTTCAGAGAAGATATTTGCCATACATGTAATAATAGACAAAGGATTAACATCTATAATCTCTAAAGGGCTCCTGCAAAGCAACAGGAAAAGGTCAAATGCCTAAAGGAAAAGTAAACAAGAGAAACACACCAGAAAAATCACTGTGAAAGTCGTAGCAGTGACCCATAAGTATATAAAAATATATTCAACCTTAATAAAACTATAATATACTATTTTTCGCCTATCAAATGGGTGAAATTTTTTAAGATAACATTCAATAATATGACAGTATGGAGAAACCTGGGTCCCCTTTTTCAAATTTATAAAAAGTTAATATATGCTCACTCATTTAAACATTCAAGAAATACAGAGTGATGGTGAAGAAGGATGTTTACGAAGCCCGCGCCCTCTTCAGTGGCAAACCCACGAGGGATTTTTTTTTTGGTATTTTCGCACACAGAGACATATACATACACACCAATACTTATTTTCCTAATTGATGTTACACTGTGTATATATTACTCTGTAACTTGATTTTTTTCAATTTCACTTTCAAATTTTTCATTTTAAAACCTTGGAGAAATTTCAGCGTCGGTACGTAGAGACCTACCTCCACCCTTCTATGGCTGAACTGTGTGATACAGTTGTTCCCAAATTTATTCAACCAACCTTGACCAATGGAACTTCAGTTGTTTCCAGTTTGGTTTTGGACTATTGTAAACCATTCTAAAATGAGAATTCTTGTACATATTTTTGCGGGTTTGCATTTCTTGGAGCAGACTGTAAGGAAATTAACAGGCTGAGTCCGAAGGCAGCCATCTTGAAACGGGACAGGATGGTATTGATGGGGGTGAAGACAGCAGTAGCTGACCCCACATGCTCTCTATGGTCAGGCTGTACTCCAGGTGCCCTGCGGTTATTCTCTCGTTTACTGCTCACATCTCTGACTCAGGTGCTACTCTTTTCCTCATTCTCGGAGAGGACACTGAGACACAAAGGCTGGATCCTGCCCAGGGTGCCAGGTGTTGTCTGAGGCAGAATTCGAGCCCACTCCGGAGCCCACCTCCCACCTCTGCACAAAGCCCCTTCCAAGACCTGACACGGTCAACTTCACACGCTCCCAGCACTTGGCAGATGTCTCCCATTTTGACAACTGCAACGGTCTTTTGTTGTTAGGAAAATACAGTGAGGTGAGAGGTTGGGACAGGGACAGGCCTCCTGCCGCCCCATTACGTTTCACCAAAACCTTCCAGTGCAGAACGCCAGGTGGGGGTGGGAGGGGGGGTTCTAATTGGCACAGACTGGCCGTGGGGACCAAACGAACTAATGTGGGAAGAGCAGAGTCAGGGCCTAAAGAAGCACCCACAGAGAAGCCCTCCGCCCCCACATCCCACGAGGCAAGCACCCGAGGTCCGAGGCTGGACGTAAGCCAGTCGTGGGTGGCAGGCAGGTCCCGACCCCCAACCCCCTGCCCACTGTGGGGTCAGCCGTCGGAATAGCAAGATGTGACTAAGGGGATGCTGTCAGCCCCCAAACGGCCCTGTGGGCGTGAACACGAGAACCCCCACGCAGCCCAGGCCCTGGCCGGCAGCACCCACCTGGGGGGGCCCGCTGAGCAGGAGCCTGCGCGGGTGGAAGCTGTCCACACGGCCCTCGGCGCGGTTGCCGTAGTCCATGTGGCTGGGCCGGGGCACCGTCCACTGCCGGTAGTAGAGGGACTGCTCCGTGGACGTCATCGTCTTGCTGAGCAGGGGGCGGAAGGAGCTGGCCCACACGACCGAGTGGGAGGGCAGGAGCGAGGCGGCCTTGGGCAGGCCACTGCTGTCGGTGGCCGTGACCATGTCATACACCAGCTTGGGCAGGAAGATGATGGGGGGCTGCCGGCAGGCCTTGGTCATGGAGCACTGCGAGGCCTGCAGGACGAGCGTGCCAGCCGCAGGGGTCATGGACGAGGAGGGGGAGCCCGAGGAGGAGAGCTGGGAGGACGACGGGGTGACCGACACCTGGACGCTCCTCTGGCTGGCTCTCAGGCCGGAGTCCGGCTGGGGGGCCAGCCCAGGGCTGTGCCTGCTGATGACCGACGGTGGCCCCCGACTCGCTTGGGGCCTCTGTCTCTCCCCGGGGGCCCTGCCCTCCTCCGAGGGGCCGCAGGGCTGTGGCGACCTGGCCCGCTCCCCCTGCGACGGTGGCCCGGGCTGAGCCGAGGACTCGCCGCACAGTGCCGAGCCTGGGGAGGGATGCACCTGTCAGTCACGCCCCAGGAAGGACCCTCGCCAAACCGCCCACCACTCCTGTTCCCGTGACACAAAGTACCCATACTTGACGATCACTGGGAACTTCCACAAACAAAAACAAAACCCCCCCTCTGGGTACACAGAAACTCCTGTCCGAGGACAGAGCCACGGCTTGCTGAAGAGAGAGAGCCTGTGTCACGGGGAGAGACTTCAACCCACACTCACCCCAACACCCTGCACACGGCCTCAAAGCCTCTCCGTTGCAAGCCCCCGACCCAATCTGTTCCACAGCACCCTGCCTTCAGGGCTCAAGCTCCGCGCACGCCCCCTGCAGGTGTTCCCGGGACGCCGCTCCCTGCAGTCCCCCCGGGGAGCTCACATCTAGCCTCTGCACCAGCACAGTGGCGGCTTCTCATGCAAACCGCCAGCAAGCCGCGCGGGACTCAGAACTCAGGAGGCTTTAACCAAACGCTGGCATTACCTAGCTTTTCAAAGGATCGGGGGAGGAAACGCAGAGCGGCCAGCCAAACCCAGACTTCCTTCCGCCCCTCCCCCACGTGCACCACGTTGAGGCCTCGGGAAGTGTGGCCACACACCGGGCAGCACCCTGCTCTCTCATATCATCCCAGCCATATGCACCAGGGCTCGCGTGGCAGCTCACAGCAGCCCTGCAGACCTCGGGCCCGCAGAAAGCAGGGCAGATGGGATACTGCATCGTTGTCTTAACTCTGTCCTTTCCCAGGAGACGGTGTGGACAGAAGACAGACCCAGGGAGGCCTGCCTCACAAAGGCCTTCCCGCCACCCTGCAGCACTTGGCCCAGCCTGCACCCCACGCACCACGCCGCTCAGGCAACCTCCCCTCTGGATCCGAGCTCCCCAGCAAGGGCCCTACCACTCGGCTCTACGGCCTGCATCTAGCACCCTTCCGGACGGCTCACGGAAGGAGGAAATGCAGCACTGGCCAGTCCCCCTCCGCTGGGGACTCCTGCCGAGATACCTCGCGCTGGGGCAAGGCACCTGAAGCGACCGGCTCAGTGTCAACGGACTAGCCCGAAGAGCACATATGGGGAGGCTGTGAGGCACCGGGGCGCTGGCCTGGGACAAGGGGAACAGATGGGCCTGAAGGACATCAAAGAGGCACAAGATTCCAAAAGTAGACCAAGGGAACCCCAATGTCTTCATCCGCTTCCCTAGGTTGTGAGGGCCAGCCCGGTAGGACCCTGAGGACGGACACCCACACGGACGTTTCTCTCCATCCACCCCCAGACCTCAGTTGGTCTGTCCCCAGTTGAATCCAGGGAAACTGTCAGTCTATAAAGATGAGACCCACCCTCACCTAGGTCTCCACCCTGACTCGGGTGGCCGTGGCCAAGTCTCACCTCCCTGGGCCTCCATTCCCTCATCTCTGAAATATATGGCAGCCAAGGCCATGAGAAGCATCTGGTCAGAGACCCCTAAGACCTCAGGACCTTCTTCTGAGGAGTCCTGGCTAACAAAGTCACCTCACCTAACTGAAGAACTCCAGAAGGAGAGAGCCGGGCTCATAGCCTAGACGTTCTACTCCTGAAGACACTGCATAGACCAGTGTGTCCCCAGAACCTTCTAGAAAGCTGTCCCACCAGGACTGGGGAAGAACAAAGCACCATTCCTCTCTATTCTGAATAGCACAGATTCATTCACTCACCCATCTGCCAGCTCCCTCTATTGTTTGGGGCAGAGGACACCAGAAGCTACAGCATTTGGCTTTTCTGACCGCCCCGAGCCGAGGACTAGGTCTCCCTTCTGCCGCAGAGCTGCCGGCTGATGTGAGGGTGGCCTCGTTCTGACTCCCTCTGGGCACAACTGTGAGGGAGACCCCCCTCAGCCTAGCTCACTGTCACCCGTGGGCTTCATGAGGAGGGGGCAGAAGACAGGAAACCAAATCCCCCGGTGTGCTCTGACCTCCACAGCCAGGTGACCACCACGCCCTTGTGCACAAGCACCACATGCCCCTCCACAGCCCGAGCCTCCTCCCTCCTGAGTATCTTCTCCTCCGAGACCCAAAGGCCCTCCTCTGAAGGGCCGCAGGGCTGTGGCGACCTGGCCCACTCCCCTGCAGGGACCGCACCCTACCCCTAAACCTGCCCCCACCTGAGGCAAAATTACCTCTCCATCCACGGAACTGTCCCACGTCATGTGTGTGTGTGCGTAAACAGCAACGCGGCCCCTGTCACGCTATCACACGGCTGACGAGGAACCGTGAACTCCCTGAGAGCGGGTCTGTAGCTCATCTTTCTGCCCTGACTCAGATACCAAGTCGGTTCTCGGTAATGGCTGCACAGAAGACCGCAGTGCTGTTTCATGTGGGCCAGTCCTGACTGCTCCCAGACACCAGGCATCCCTTAGGCAGAGACTGGGCATTTTACCCACATTTCCCTGCGGTCTGGGTCTGGGGCTCAGGGACCACCTGCTACCTTTTGTTGCTTTTCCCCCAGGGAATCTGTGTCCACTTCTCTCTGCCTTTAGACTCAATAAGAACACCTGACCCCAGCCCCTCTCCTCCCCCAGGGCACAATGATTCCCTAAACCAACAGCTGCCTGGGGCACAGCCAAGGGGACACTGCCCAGCACAGGCCACCAAGGGAGACAGAGTCCATGATCTTCTCCCAGGAATTCTGAGGTCCTGCCCAAACTCCTCATGTCCCAGACCCCAATCCAGAATCACAATCTCTAAGAAGCTCCAGTTCTTCAAAGATTCCCTTCTCTTTCCAGTTCTAGGTGAAAATAAAGATCTGTTTTCATTCTCTGAAATCTCAAAAGAAACATCCAGATGTGCACTCTTTCCCACCTGGAGACTTACTAGATGCTTTAGAGGAGAGGGACGAAGACACCGAATCGTGGGAGCAGGACCTCTCCCTCTTCACCGGGCTCCTCTTCTCCGAAGTGGAGCCTGTTTCAAGACACACATGCTGAAAATGCCTCATAATCATCTTGTATGTTCACCCAGCACTTCAGAGTTTGCAAAGTGTGTTCATACCTAGCATCCATCCATCCATCCATGCATCCATCCATCCATCCATGCACCCATCTATCCATGCATCCATCCATCCATGCATCCATCCATCCATCCATGCATCCATCCATCCATGCATCCATCCATCCATCCATGCATCCATCCATCCATCCATGCATCCATCCATCCATCCATGCACCCATCTATCCATGCATCCATCCATCCATGCATCCATCCATCCATCCATGCATCCATCCATCCATGCATCCATCCATCCATCCATGCATCCATCCATCCATCCATGCACCCATCTATCCATGCATCCATCCATCCATCCATGCATCCATCCATCCATGCATCCATCCATCCATCCATGCATCCATCCATCCATCCACCCACTCAGCTACCATCTTGCAGGCGCCTGCCTCTGACAGAGCCCCGAGGAGACAGATGGGAGGTGACACAGGCCAATCAGGCATTCATGGCTCATGGGGGCTCCTTCTCACGAGCCACAGCTACAGGTGTAAGGAGCGCAGAGAGAGACCTGGGAGCCTGAAGGCCAGGCTCCCGCCAGGCACAGAAAGGTAAGAGCAGATGGCTTTCTGGAAGGAGTGACCCGACCTGAGCCCTGAAGGGCCAGCAGGGGTTTCTAAGTGAAGCACAAAGGAGGGGGAGCTCAAAGCCACGGGAGAGCCTCTGTGTGGCCCAGAGGTGACAAGAGCAGAGCACAGCCAGGGAAGCCCGATGAGCTGAGTGTGACTAACAGCATGGGGTACGGTGTGAGAAGCAGTGAGACTAGAGAGGTAGGCTGTAAAATGCCAGGAATGCGGATTCATCCCACGGGCAACAGGGAGAATGAGGCATCTTAATGTCAGGGTCACAACGACGTTTGTGCAAGGTCGCTACAGCTCCAGCAGAGTCTGTCCCGGGGGCCTTTCAGTCTGTCTCACAGGTGAGCAATCTGAGGCCAGTAAAGGAAGCATGACGTGTCGCAAGTCACACAGCCAGCAGATGCAGCGGGAAGAGAAACCGGGTCTTCCAACCCTGCATCACACCCCACAAACGCTTCCCATGTTTTTATAAACAGCTTTGTCTTTATTCTTGCTGCACTGTTGACAACAGTCAGATGCCTTGCATTGCTCTGATTTACGTGTCCTATTAAAATATAGTGTTGGATTTTCATGTCTTGGAATGAAACTGGCCTCTTCTCATCAACCTCCATAATAAACCCAACCTGTTGGTTCACACAGAGGAAATACGCGAGCAAAGCCTATACGGGGTAGTAAAGCCACTGACTAGTCAAACAGAGTAGGAAACGGAGTCCTGAGAAATCGCAATTTTCCTTCCTATTCTCTAAGAATTCTAGAGCTAGGAAGAACCAATCGGGATTTCCATTTTCTCATACCACCAAAAGGGGGGGGGGGGCAAAATCTGAATGCCACCCGGGATGTGCCATCTCCTGCAAAGACGTATCTAGATAGCGCTCATCGGAGCTGCTGCCCGTGAGACGGGCCCCAGAGCCACACAAGTGCAGGCTGCCCCCAAGACGAGCAGGCGAGGTGGACCTGCCACCCCTCACCTTCCGTCACCAGCTCCTCATCCTCATTGTCTGTGCTGCTCAGCTTTTCTGCGTCGCTCTCTAAGGGCTCGTGCCGGGCCCCCTTCTCCAAAGGAACCTCACTGCTCACGAAGTAAGCAGCCAGGCCCAGCTCCTGTTCCAGGGCTGTTCTCACCAAGCAGGAGGAGTTTATCAGACGCAGGTCGCAGTACCTCAGAGACCTGGAGGGAACAAGAAGGTATCCACCGAGCGTCTTCTACAATGAGGCACCACTCCCAGCGCTGGGGGGATGGGCGTCGGGACCAGCCCCCTGCCGCCTCTTTAGGGCCCTAGGACTTGTGCAAATGGAAAAGTAGATCGCAGTACAGTGAGCCCTTGGCAACCAAGTCAGTTTAACAGTAAGTCTCCTGGGGCACCTGCTATGGATTCAGCCCTGTCCTGCATGTCATCGCGAGAGCATTTTCAGGCCAGAAGAAAAGCAGACTTGAACCCCAGCTCTGCTACTTCCTAGGGCCAGAAACTTCCACAAGCTGGGCAACCTCTTGCAGGCTCAGATTTTCATCTAAAAGATGAGAATTAATACTAATAGCCATCTAAGTGCCTGTTTGAAGACTATATGCAGTCAGTGGACATTTAATTATTCAACCAGCACTTAAAATGTGCCAGGACTGTGCTAGATGCTACGGACAGGGTGACAATCAAGTCACCTTTACCCGGCCTGCGAGGACACCGTGTGCAGTAGTCCTCGTGTAAGTGTGGGGTAGCCCAGGGGAAGGATCCCCGGCTTTGGAGTTGGGCAGCCTAGAGTCCATGGTCCACCAGGCTTAATCTCTGTAAGTCCCATTTCTTCACTGCTCAAAGGGGACACTGAAATATTACCTTCCCCCAGGGTGACAGCAGTGAGAGTAAAATGAAATACAGCACATGAGAAGAATCCAGTACAGTGCCAGCACATGACAGGAACCCAATAAATGTCAGTTCTTACTCTTTCGTTATACCTGGAAAGATGTGCATGGCCACCTGCTCTTCTCCATGGTATTAAGTAAATCTTTAGGAGCCAACCTGTTGCCACCCATTCAAGCAACTGCCTTACTGGAGGCCCAGTGACCTTCTGTCCTGAGTGTCTACCTGTCCGTGTGACAGCCTAGCGACCCCAGGAGACACTGAGGGGGCTTGCAGCTAACTTCTCCGTGGCTGTGGTCTCCAAAGGAACACAGCCTTTGAGACAGTCAGCTGTGTGTGTGGAAACCAGCTCTTCCTAAGGGGCATCAGCTGCCTCCCCACTTCCCAGAACACCTCCTACACCGGGAGGGTCCCGCTATCCCACAGCGAGATACCAGAAGTGGAGCCTTGACCCCCAAGGTGATCAGATACTTTCCTACACAGAACAGCCATCCCCAATGCACATGGTGACCCTCACGGGAGAAACTGAGGGAGGCACCAAACTCTCACCCCAGCTGGAGGACCTCCACCCACCGGGCCCAGCCACAGCCATCCCACCCCCCGTGAACCCAGATGGTGCCTATCTGAGAATTATGAAATGCTGCCCAGACCTCAAGACACGTTTCACTGCCATAGGCTGGAAAACTGTCATGATGAATGCACAACTCTATGATGACTCTGAATGTAAAGACTCCACCTGCCACTGGGCACTGGAAGCCTGGCCCGACCACCCCCCAGAGCTGTGGGTACAGGCAGCTGGCTCTTCAAAGACCCCGGGGCCACACAGCCCCCTCCCCTCACCTCGGTAAGGACTCCCCGTGAGGATCCATCCCACTGAAGATCAGGATGCATGGCAGGCCCTCCAACTCCAGGTAGGTCTGAGGCCTCCACTCCGCGTCCTCAATTTTCTGCCACATCTGCGGATAATTAAAAAGCAATAAGGCAGCGAGACTCCTTACTTTCAGACTAGCCCAGCTCTGACAGATCTATGGTGTCCTCCTCGTGACTGGAAGCGTTTCGTGAAAAGGACAGATAAACACATCGTCTGCTTCACGGCTGCATTCCCAGCCAGACTGCCCGGCACGTGTTAACCATCTGCGGAATATCTGCTGCCTGATCCTTGGGAAGAAAAGTGCATATCCTCAGTTGTGTCTAACCTTTTTACTGTGCCTTCTCAGCCACGCCTCTCCCTCATAGTTGCTGCTCACCTCTTCTCTCGGGATTCTTTGTAACCCTCCTGCTTTTTCCTTCACCTCTCTGTGGGTTCAGTGAGAAGCTGGGGGCCAGGCACTGTGCTAGTATGGGGGGGCCTGAGGGCTATGGGGGTGGTCCCTGCCCTCCACCGACCGGAGAAAGAGCCAGAGCACAGGCAGGGAGCACAACGCCAGCCCCGCCCCCTGTGCGGAGGAGAACCTGGGGGCAGGGAGGGGCAGCTTCCAGAAAGAGGAAAAGACAGGAGCTGAGTTCTACAAGGCCATTGGCTAAACCAAGGAGGAGGAGAAAAGCACTCCCAGGAAGAATGAAAGGCACGCTGCAGCCCAGAAGTTTAAAAGAGCAAGACAGGGGGCGCCTGGGTGGCTCAGTCGGTTAAGCGTCTTCCTTCGGCTCGGGTCATGGTCTCAGGGTCGTGAGAGCGAGACCCCCGCATCGGGCTCCCTGCTCCGCGGGGAGTCTGCTTCTCCCTCCGCCCCTCCCCCTACTCGTGCTCGCTCGCTCTTTCTCTCTCTCAAATAAAATCTTTAAAAAAGAAAAAGAGCGAGACAATGCATTGGGGGAGGGGGCAACATTTATAAATAGTTTAGTACTGCAGGTAAGGACAGGGCAAGAGAGGCGGCCAGAGGGGTGGCCAAGCGTGGAGGGGGCCCGAGGTGTTTATCGGCACGCCGTCACCCCTCCCCCCCACTCTCCCAGGCACCTTCCACCCCTCCCTGCCCCCAGCGCCCACCTTGAGCTGCTTCACGAAGTGCTTCCCGACAGTGATGCCAGAGCTGGGGTTGCCCAGGATGATCTCGAAGTGCTCCTCCAGGGCCAGGCGCGCCCGCACGTGGGCTAGCCGCTCGTAGGCCACGGCCGCGAGCGGCGAGCAGGGCACCCGCAGCAGGACCATGAGCCCGTGGCCGCAGGGGCACTGTTTGGGGGAGTTGATGAGGTTCTGGGTGATCTCCAGCGTCTCCACCGACGTGTAGTCCTTCATCTGCGAGAGGCCGCTCACAGCCATCATGGCGGCCGCGTAGTGCTGCACGAGAACAAAGGTCCTGATCACCGCGCTGTGCAGGCGGGGGAACCTGCAACAAACAGAGACACGGAGCCGTGACCGGGCTGCTGGCCACCTCCAGGACGCCCGGAGCGCTCCGGGAGGAGGAGCAGGGCCTGCGCCCAGCAAACGAGGGACCCAACACAGCCCCCGACGCGGGCACGGCGACCCCCTGGTGGCATCCAGGTTGTGTTTCCTTTCGAAGCTGGTTGTTTCAAACCTGAAAGGGAAGCCTTCCGTAGAAGTCAAATCAAAAACTGCTCTGTTACTTCCAGCTAGGAAAGAAGCGCATAGGTTTGCTGTTTCTCTGTGCTTTCCAGCACCTGGTGCATGGTAGCGGCTCAACAAATATTTGTGCAATGAACGAAGAGAGGAGTGAATGAAACAAATGATTGTTTTGTCTCTCATCAGCTTAATTTGTAGAGTAATCCGCCCCCAGTTCCCACTGAAAATAGAACCACTAGCGATCAGCACATAAGCGCAATGATCACATTCCCCAGATTGAGGGCGACCATCCCGAAGGCACGTCTCTGCATCTGTTTCAAGGACAATGAGTAATCAGAAATGTAACTAGATGTGATTTGACAGATGAATTACAAATCAGAACATACTCAGTCAAATCAAGAACCCCAGTTTGGGCTTCAGAAACTGTTACCATCTGTGTTTCCACACAAAAGTGGTGACCCCGCCAAGACCACATGCCCTGCAAGCACTCTTCTGACCCACGCATCAGAAACAGATCTGGAGGCCAACCCTGGAGGCCACCGCATTTCTCTGTAGGAACAAATTGACATCTGCTTTACACATGATGCTCTTGTGGGTTTATTTCACTAGAATGTATCCCCTGACGCAGCGGCTTTTTGGGGCAAAGATAAAAAAGTTTCTTGATCTACAAAGATTGGCCCTTTACCATGGCCATGCCACCCTAAGAGTTCTACCAGGGCAATCAGTCACCTTCCACAGAGTTTCTGAGGTCTTCTCTTACCTACTATTCTCCTCCTTTTCTTCATTCTTTGTCCTTAGCATTTCAACTACATCATGGATTCTATAAGTTGGAGAGCTGGCTTGCTGTCTCAGGAAGGCATGACTGATCTGCAGATTCTGGCACAAAGGGGACTCAGCAGTCCAAGGACTGCTTTGCCCTGCCCCTGGAGCACTGGCCAAATAGTGCCCAAGAAGAAAAGAAGAGAGCAGGGTGGAAAATGCATGGTGTCCCCTGCCCTACAGTACTGCCCCCACTGTGGTGGCCCCTTGTCACCCTGAGCAAGGTGGGATGAAGGGGGATGAAGGGCAGGATGTCATTTGGGAGGAAGCATACTTTCTCCCAATCTCTGATATGGCGGGAAGTGCCTGCATTCAACTCTGTTCAAAGGACCAGGAGAGTCAGAACAGGAACCATATTTATCCATCTGAAATGACAAAAAAACTGGACAAATACATGAAACAAGAGTGTTTCAAGACATTGGGCATCAGGAAGTGAAAGACAGTGATCCTTAGAAATGGAAAAATTGGAGGAGCCCCCAGCTTCTTCCTTGAAAAAGTTTCTGGAATGTGCTCAGGAAAGGGAAACCCAGGCAGAGCATAAGTGGTCTCCCTGACTTGAGGAAAGGCACTGGAGTCCAGGGAAATCGAGTAGCAAGAGTTCACAGGGGAAAGCACCAGAGAGGAATAAGCTGCACAAATAGAGAACTCAGGAGAGCTACACAGTGTCCCCCAAGTCATCAGCTGAGTAGTGATCAGTGCACATAGGTGAGGAAACTACTCAAGGCCAAGAAAGAAATCATCCAAGAGAATTAAAGGGAACAATGCCTCAAGGTCATACAGGGTTTAAAATAATTCCTGTTCCCATTACCAGCATGGAAGACCTCAGAATTCGTGGAACATTATAGAATATTTAGAGGGTTTTGCCTTAGTAGTGGGACAGCCCTGTACTAAATACTGCTCTGGTCCTGTCTAACAAAGCTCAAAGATTAAAGCAAGACCTGAAAGGATTAAACCATCTTCAAGTAACCTAACTATATCCCAGAACAAAGCTGAAGATTTATAGGAAAACAAATACATCCAGCCCCAACAAGGTGAAATTTACAATGTCTGGAATCCTCTCAAAAATTACCAGATATTTAAAGAAGAAAATACAACCCATAATAAGGAGGGAGAAAAATCAATCAATAGAAAGTGACTCAGAAATAACACAAATGATAGAATTAGTAGATAAGAACATAAAACAATTATTGTAACTATATTCCATACATTTAAGAAACTACAGGAAAGATTAAGAATGGTAAGTGGAGATATAAAAAAGACTCAAATTCTAGAGATCAAAGCTAAAAAGCCTGAGAGAGAAGATGAACTGGACCCTGAATTCTCAAGGAAGCTACCATCTTGGTATTTGGACTTGCCCTGCCCTGCCAGCATTAATAGATGCATTCAGGGATGGGTACCTGACCCAGGACAGGTCATCAGTCTTTTCTTGGAATTTTTCAAACAATGTTTAAAACAATCAGTATCCCTCTAGAAGCTGAAGACTGTGTAATTCAGCAGCAATGAGGAGTGATGTTTTCATGGAAGAAGCCAGTGCAATGAGATACAATACAGCCAACACAAAGAGAGGTACCAAAGACAAGACAACACAGTCATAGCAGCGTTTAATACCTAAGTTGCTCCTGAAACCAGCTGCATCTCTGACATTCTGTGGTTTATTTATTCAACCTCTCCTTTTATTTCATGACTCACTACATTTCTCTCCTTTTCTTAAGGTAGTTCAAGTTGAGTTTCTGTCACTTGAGGTAGAATCCTGATTAATAAACAAATACAAGTAAGTGTTTATCATCAATTCATCAATGTGAATATACATTCATGCATGTGCTACCTGAAATTGTCTTTCTTCTTTTCTTAGAAGACAACTTCTTCTCTTAGGAGAAAAATTTCTTCTTGTCATATAAGACTCCTTTCCTTTTATAAAAAAAAATATAAACAAACAAACCGGATATGACTGACAGCAGGAAAAAAAGATTAGTAAATGTGAAAACATAGCAATAGAAACTATCTAAAATGAAACAAAGGGAAACAAAACAATGACTATAGCATCAGAGAGTTATGGAACAACTTCAAGCAGCTTAATGTATGTGTTATTGGATTACTCTAAAAGAGAGGAGGAGAACGTAGAAAAATATATTTGAAGAAATAATGACTGAATTTTTCCTCAGACGTAATGAAAATTCAACTGACTTAAGTACAAGAAACATGAAGAAAATGATACCAAATCATATCTTAAATTGCTTAAGACCAGTAACAAATTAAAATATTTTTTAAAGCAGCCTGGTCAGGGGATGGAAGGAGCTGGGAGGGGAGGGCACATTACAGAGAGAAACAAAGGTGAGGATGGTGGCAGATTTTGTTTGAAACAGTGCAAGTCAGAAGACGGAAGAGCAACATCTTTAATGTACTGAAAGAAAAAACTACCTAAATTTTATACCTAGGGAAAATATCTTTCAAAAATGACTAAAAATAAAGACACACAAAAGCTTAAAGAATGCATCACCAGCAGACCTTCCCAACAGATGTTGAAAAAAAGTCCTTCAGAAAGGATAACAAAACCAGATAAATCCACACAAAGAAATGAAGAGCACTGGAAGTAGTAACTATGTGCATAAATATAAAAGATGTTTTTAAAAATTATTATTTAAATATCTCTAAAAGATAATTGACTATCTAAAGCAAAAGTAACTTATTGTGGAGTTTATAATGTATTTAAGTAAAATGAATGAGCCTGTGAGGTGAGAAATAGATATACTATTGTAAGATCCTGATCCAGAAAATGGTATATCACTCGAAAGTAGAAAGTAGGTTAAAAATATATACCATAAAGTCTAAAGCAACACCTAAAAGAACATATGAGTTACAGCTAATGAGCAAGTGGTGGAGAGAATGAAATCATAAATGCTCAGTTCATCCAAAAGAAGACAGAAAAAGGGAGTCCACAGAACAGATGAAACAAGTAGAAAAATTGTAAGATGGCAGATTTAAACACAACCACATCAATAATTACATTAAATGTAAATGGTCTAAACACCTCAATTAAAAGTCACAGACTGTCAGCTGCAATAAATAAATAAGACCCCACTATAAGCTGGAAAACAGCTTTAAATATAGACACAAGTGGGTTAAAAGTAAAAATACGGAAAATTATAAACTATGCTAACACTAATCAAATGAAAGCTAGAGTAGCTATATTAATTTCAGAAAAAGTAGATTTTAGAACAAAGAATAATATTCTTTGGGTCATTTCATAATGATAAAGGAGTCAATTCATCAAGAGACACTTCACCAAAGATGACATACAAATGACAAATAAACACAAGAAAAGATGCTCAACATCATCAGTCACTGGAGAAATGAGTGAACTATTGATATATACTGTATAATTTCATTTATATAAAACACCAGAAAAATGCAAATAGCCTACAGTGAGAAAGGGAAAGGAAGGAATAATTACCAAGGGGTAGGAGGAAACTCTTGTTCATTATCTTAATTGTGGTGAAGGTTTTGCCAGTGTTTACATATGTCAAAACTCACCAAATTGAACACTTTAAATATCTGCAGTTTACTGAATGTCAGTTATTCCTCACTAAAGCTATTGTTTAAAAAAAAAAACAAAACTACTGTGTGGGAGGCAGGGACTAGCCCAGCTCCAAACAACAGGTGTAGGTAGAATATGCCTACCCCTAAGCCTTTGTGGTTGGCCCTATAGGAAGCTCCACAGAAAACATATTGGAATAAAAATGGGAGCTGTTAAATGTCTAAATCTCAGTAAGTTTGTGGTCTTGCAAGCAGACTTCCCAGCCATGTGCTAGGGTCTGTGCACAACACAAGGCAAATCAACAGGCTGGCCATGCACATGGTGGCAAGAGGCAGTAACCACTGTGTTCTTACCTTTAGTGCCTTCTGTCCAAGCTGCCTGTTTCAAGAGATTTCCAGACAGAGGATTCCTGGGAAAGGCAGCATGGCACAGTGGAAAGAACATCAAACCCGGCTATAATCCAGGTTGCCACAAACAGGATGTGTGACCTTGGCCAAATCACTTCCCCTCTCTGGGCCTCAATTCCCACAATTACAAGACGGGGTGGGGTGGTCGGGTTAAATGATTCCTAGGCAGTCCTATGAGTCTCCAGGACTCAACATTCCAGAGTTTTCTAGCCTATTCTCACTTAGTGAAATGGAAATCTTTTTTTTTTTTTTTTAAGATTTTATTTATTTATTTGAGAGAGAGAGAATGAGAGATAGAGAGCACGAGAGGGAAGAGGGTCAGAGGGAGAAGCAGACTCCCCGCCGAGCAGGGAGCCCGATGCGGGACTCGATCCCGGGACTCCAGGATCATGACCTGAGCCGAAGGCAGTCGCTTAACCAACCGAGCCACCCAGGCGCCCGTGAAATGGAAATCTTAATCTCTGCGCAACACTTGCGGTTCAGCAGAGGGGGAGAGAGGCAAGAGAGGAAGAGGGCGGTGGTGAGGATGGTGACAGTGGTGATGGTGAGGACAAAGCCGTGTTGGTGGTGGCTGCAGCTGCCGTGAGCATGTAACGTGCACCAGGCATGCTCTTAATGTTTTGTATGTATTAGGGGCGCCTGGGTGGCTCGGATGGTTAAGTGTCTGCCTTCGGCCTCAGGTCATGATCTCCAGGGTCCTGGGATTGAGCCCCACATTGGGCTACCAGTTCATCAGGGAGCCTGCTTCTCCCTCTGCCTCTGCCTCTCCCCCTCAAATGAATAAATAAAATCTTTAAAAAAAATGTTTTGTATGTATTAATTCATTTAATCCTCATAACATCCCCGTCTGGTAGACATTATTCTCCCCGCAGAGGAATGAGAAACGTTCCTAAAGTCTCCTAGCTGGAAAGTGACAGACCCAGGACCTAAACCCAGGAAACGTGATTCTGGAGCCTGACCTCCCAGCACACAGCTATTCCTGAGTCTGCACATGTTCCCATTTCATCAAACTCTCATGAGAAGCCACTAGAAAAGTAGATTTGTTCATAGGTGAAGGTACGGAAGTTCAGATGGGTTCAGTGATTTGCCAAAGGTTAAAACTCATGTTTTCCTAAGTGTAAAGCCAGAAGGTATGGTCCCGCGGTCAGTCTGGCCTTCTGGCCATGAGACCTTGCTCCATATGGCTTGGTGGTTCTACTATTTTGGAGTCAAGTGACAAGAATTAGGTCTGGCTTCACTACAAACCCCCCATGTGACCTAGGACAGGGGACCCAACTTAAGTCCGTTCCTTCCTCTGCCACACAGGGATAACAGTACCTATTCCACCGTGCTGCCATGAGGATGTTTTAGGCAATAAACATCGAGTACTGGGCCCAGAGTGACAGCTCACCAAGCACCCAACAGAAGCTGCTGCGTGAGGAGAGCAGGGCAGAGAGGCAGAGGCAGGGCTCCTTCCCTGAGCAAGCGTATGAGCGCCCAGCTGCCCACGTGTGAGGTGAAGAGCAGATTAAGTCCACCAGCATCCCCGCACTGAAAGGGATTTAGCTTCTCAAAGGGCATTCTGGGGAACACTGATCCCGGGGCACACACCAGAGATGCCGCACATTTGAGCCTCCTCCTCAGGACTGACAGCACGCATGGCAACAGAAGGCTCAGAGAACTCTCGTGGAAAAGAAAACCTTAAATGTAAGGTTTCTCAAACACATTTGACCATGGACTGCCTAAGAGCTATTTGCATCCAGCCCAAGCAGTACAGCTTGGAACACAGCTTGAGAAGCCCACGTCTAATTTAATCCCTTCGTTGGCACAAGAGAACAGGGCGCCATGAGGGAAGGTGACAGAGCCCATGGCAGAACCACTCATTCTGTTTTGCAGTAGCCAGTCTGTAAACTTTGCCTGGCTTTATGGCGTATGAACTGGGTGATGATGGTAATCACTTAACCTCCCGGGCCTCGGTTTCCTCATCTGAGAAATGGCAGCATTAAAATCTACCTCAGCGGTCTGCTGTGACACGGGTCGGAGGGCGAGCTGTAGAGTCAGGCTGATGCCGGGTTCATGGCCAGTTCTGTCACTGGCCAGATGTGGGGCCCGGGAAGTCATGGAGGTCTCTCGGAGCCTCAGTTTACTTGCAAAATGGAAATAATAGCCGCAACTGGCTAAGAGAGATGGTGAGGCTCTTGGAAACAGCAAACAGTACAAAATAAGCACTCGACAGATGATACACATGGGACATGAAAGGATGAAGCCAACTATGATTGTCACTATCATTTCCTTTAAATCTTTTGGTGTCTTACCTCCTCCCATTTACTTGGCTTCCCCGTGTCTCAAACACACCCTCCCACACTCCAACATATTACTGCCCATTCCCATCTCTAAAACATTCTGGAACAACGGACGACAGATATCACTGGCCCCACAGGCAGGGCAAGAAATAAACCAGAATCCCTTTAGTGGAGGGACAGAGTCACCCAAGAAAGGAGGATGGTGGCCCCCTTCCTGGAATTCTCTGGCTGCACACTCTTCAGCTCACACTCGACTCCTGAGCATTTTAGTAACTTCCAACAGAGACATGTACCTTTTTCCTAATGCCGTGACCATGGCCTCAAAGGAACTGTCGTATCTGAGCAAAGGGAGGCTGTGTCCCGAAAGGGTGGACTCAATGAACTCTGACAACCCGAAGTACTTCTTATTCTCAGGATATAAGTCCACCCCCTAAAACAGAGAAGAACATCAGTCACACAAACACTGCATTTGCTGGGATGGAGAGATTCACACGCTGGGCATGTAGATGGCCGGCACAGGCATCTTGATCTAAACTGTGCTGACGTGGGGAGCCTCGATGGCTCAAGTCAGGTAAGTGTCCTACTGTTGATCTCGGCTCAGGTCATGATCCCAGGGTCAAGAGATCGAGCCCCATGTCAGGCTCCATGCTCATCGTGGAGTCTGCTTGAGATTTTCTCTCTCCCTCTTCCCCTCACCCAGCTCATGCGCATACACACGCACATGCTCACTCTCTAATAAATAAAATCTTGTAAAAAAATAAATAAAAAATAAAAATAAATTGTGCTGACTGCAGTCCTATAGCTGACATTTTATATATTACTTCCCTCTGCTGACCCAGAGCACGGAGCACTCTATACTTAAAGGATGGCGCATCCATATCGGTCAAGACTTTTCCGTTCATCTGACCCTAGTGTCTCTGCCAAGAAAAACATCAGCCTCGTTTTTTAAACCCACAACTTTCTTGGTTAAAATGACTTCTTTCCAACAATTTTAAGCTAGTTTTAGGAATAGGCCAATCAACCATCTTGCGCTCAGCTTGCTATTAAAATCAGCAGGAAGAAATGCATTTATCTAATCAATTTCACTCCCATTGACCTAACATTCATAGTTCAACCCTCCTCTGCCTCATTTTCTCCATTTGTAAATCAGAAATCATCCTAGCCTCTGCCACTTATAGGAGTTCATATGATAAAGCATTCAGAACAGTGCCTCCCTAGCTCACGGAACTGCTACAGAAACACTTGGTATTACCACCACTGATTCCAAGTCTGCTGGACTGAAGCCAAGCATCAGTATCTTTTTAAGTCCCTCAGATGAGTCTGGGACACCCCCAAAAAGTCTAGAATTTGAGGTTTGCTTGTTACTTGTATAATTAAGTAGAATCCAACCACCCAGAATTCTCCAATTATTCTCAGAAGTCTCAAATTATCAGTTGTAGCCTTCTATTTTGATGAGAAAAGGCAGGGGATAAACCAAAACCTCACCAGGTTTTATGGATGTTTGTTCCATTTGAGAAAGGAGATTTTGAGCCTTGCAGCTTAAAGATGTGGGGATAGGAAAAGCAGGAACCTTTCCAAGGCTTCTAGACTAAACATTACATGTCCTCAGATGGGGAAGATAACTAACGTCTTTTGGGAAAGTTTCTAAAGACCAGGAAGGGTTTAAGTCTAACTCTGGGTCACATCAAAGATCCAAGAAACAGGAGACCCTCTTGACCCCCAACTACACCAGTTAATCAAGGTTTTTACTAAACAGAATTTCTCCCAACTCAAGGGTCATGGGGACACCAGGCCTAGCAGCCCCATGGCACTCACATTACTGTAGGATGCAGGCCAGTGGATCTCGTTGTAAGGGCTGATGAGGGTATGCTGTGTCTGCAGCGCATAAGGGAAGGAAGTCACGTGGAGCGTCACGATGTTGGGGGCCTCCTTCACCTCCCTGCAATTGAGCAATCTGTCCACCAATCCCACGGCCGGGTCACTTTGGGAATAGAGATTATGAACAGTGCTACTGAGGGAGGAAAGTGGGGGGGAGACACAGTGAGTGGAATGATGAATACTGCTCTATAATTTTACAAGGATCAAGCAGTTGAATACATTTCTAACTAGCCCCACCCCCAAATGTGCAAGTAATCAAGGCTTCTGGCTCTGCCCATGACGAGGAAAATTTAAGAAAAAAAAAATGACCACACTGCAGGCACCTGTCTGGGACTCCCCTGACCTTTGTTGCTTATTAAAAACTTAGCCAGGGGAACAGTATTTACGGAGGACTGCTTTCGGGATACACAATCTACCCACTCCTCTACAGCAGGGCTTCTCACCCAGGAAGGCTCCTTTGGGCCCATCTGAGTGTGTACTTGTCTCCTTAAATTCTTTCCCCTAAATTCCTTCTGACCTGAAATGATCCACAGAGAATATAAAATGGTACATTCCATATTAAATTTAAAGGTACAGGACCAGGAAGGGGAAGCATTTTAGACCAGGGGCCCAGGATTCAAGCGCAGCTCAGCCGTTCCCTGCAGGCCACGGCCTCAGCCTTCTGTCCTAGCCACCCAGCAGAACAGAAAACTCTTCGGCTATTGGCTGGCAGGCGGCTACTCTGAGAAACCTACCCCCCAAATGAATATTCACAAGACAGCTCTTTATACAACTCAGGACATTCAAATACCTCCGAGCCCCTGCACAGGGACCTTATATCGCATGCCCTGCGTATAGGTGATCTCTGAGGTTCCGGCCAGCCCTATGCTTCTGCATCCGTGAGAAGTCAAAGCCTTCCTCTGCAATCTGACCCAGGATCTCCCTTCCCTCCTCACCCCTCCCGGGCCAGTCTAGGGAGATGACAGATCCTGGTAAATCCGGAATCCTGCCAGACTCTGAGCCTGACAGCATCTAAGATGCACCTAGATTTACATTCATTTGAACTGAGTCCATAAAACCGCCCCTAAACAAGGGTGGCACCAGCTGTGACCCTCGGTACCGAAGCCAATGGGGCCTCCACCAGCAGGGGAGTTATTCCAGTCAGGATCCCCTCCCGGCCCCAGGGGGCGCCTCATCACCGGGTGGGGTACAGAAAAGGAGGCCCTAGTTCTAGACCGGCTCGGTACTAACACCCTCCTGCCCCCACCCCAGCCCTGTGACCCTGAGCCTTAGTTTCCATGATAGCACCTTTTAGAGGCTCCACTAGATGTCCCCTGAGAAAATCTCCAGCTCTAAGGTTCTGGAATACATCCATGGCATCTGCTTACAAATGCCAAAACCCCAACGTCATTCATCTTCTCAAGGCTTGTACCCACAGGCCTGAGTGTCATCCACATATTAATTCAGGGAAGGAACCCGTCAGCCCTGCCATGTGCCAAAGCCGCTCTCACCTCACGAGATCCCAGTGGGCATGGTCATGGATTAGGACAAAGAGCGTATGTGGGTTCTGAAAGGAGTTTTGCAGGAAGGACTTAAATTTCGTCTGCGCTTCGGCGTCAAGCTTCAAAACATACTGTTCGACCCTCTGCTTAGTCATGCGCTCCTTTTCCAAGCCAAGCTCCAGTAAAACCCCTGTAACGTGGTAAAAATACATCACGAGTAATCCATGACAAGTAAAACCCTTGTCACTAGTTTCTCATTCACTCAACAGACATCTGGTGAGCCCGTGCTATCTGGCTAGCATTCTGGCTGGCCCCAAAGCTACTGGGATGTGTGAGACGTGGGGGAGTCGGGGCAGCTGACCCCATGCAAACCGTGGTCACACGTATGTCTGTGCAGGAGTTGGGCAAAGAGGCGGGCCCGTTTCCTAGCGAGGTGTGTGCACAGTGGCCCACCCAGGGGCCACAGCAAAGCTGGCTTCATGAGGCTGGTGATCCTAGGCTCGGTGTGACCTCCCCACCATCCCCAGCAAAATCACCTCCCAGCCCGAAGGCCGTGGAGCTATAGGTTATAGAACCCTAGAACAAATCCTTTGAGGGAAGACATTGACTCTTTGTGTATTTCATATTTCATCCCCTTGAAAGCACAGGGAAAGTACATGAAGTTGAAGCAGGGTATCAACACATGGGTTGTTGACCTGAGTGGGGGAGAGTGGAAATTCAAGTCATGGTTCTTGCTTTAATGGATTATAAAATCTTGGGCAACTTGCTATCTCTGAGCATCTGTTTCATGATCTATAAAATGGGGGTATTAATCCCTTCCCTACCTACTTTAGAGGCAAAGACTGGTATTTCAATTCCAAATCTGAATTTAAGGGAAGCAAAGCTTCTCCCACATAGACACCACAACCTGCCCCCCAAATGCCCCGTACCTGAATGCCAGACACGGAACAGGGTCTGCTGATAGGTCACTTCGGAGGGGGGAATACAAATCAGAAAGTCCACCTTCTCAAAGGATCCTAAGTCCAAATTTTGAGTGCTGGAATCCGCAATTGAACACACGTGGGAGAGGAGCTTCTGAGCCACGGCCAGCTGGAAGGGCCGGATGTGGTGGGGCTCCAGACTGTAACCTGGAACCAGAGCCCCCATAAAGGTGAGATGCAGAGGGCCAACACCCTGGACGTCTGCTAGGGAATCCCGCAGCAGGGCCCTGCCTAGTGCACAGAGTGACCAAAGGAGGATCACACCAACATTTATCAAGTGCCTACTCTGGGCTGTGTACATTTCATACTTTTCAGAATTTAATAATAAAAGGATGAACAGTGCTCAGGGAGCACAGAGGCAGTGACCTTCTCTACCTGAAGGGGACAAAGACAGCATCCCAGGGAAGCTGATCCTGAGACAGGACTTTGGAAGAGGCTGTGAGTTCTCTGGAAGGGAGGGAGACCATCACAGCTCTTCGGGAACTCAGGATACATAACATATTTCAACAATGCACTGATAAGCTGGAAATCTACACAGAGAAATATGCCATCTCTGGAAAAGTGTACAAGCATCCATTTCAGAGTAGGATGAGACTACTAGTGTTTTAAAGACTAAAATAAAAATTATATATCAGTCCACTTTGATGCTAAGAAAATGCCCTGCCTTCTGGATGTGCCTCTAACATTGCTTCCTCACAGCCCCCCTGGCACCCCCTGGGTGCTGTCTTGCCAGCCCAGACCCTGGCCGCAGGCTCCCCACATCACTCACTTGTGCATGCCGGAGCTCCGCCGACATCCAGGGATGCTGATTTGGTGACAGAGGAGGCAGTAAGTGAGGACGGAATATGGCCTTGATTTTCCTGATGAAATTTGTCCAGCAAAATGTCAATATCACCCTCTGCCCAAAACAGAGAGAACAGCAGAAATGGGTTTTCCATCCCAGTGAAACTCAGCAAACCTCCATGCGACACCTGTGTATGAGGCACTGTCCCATGACTGGGGTAATGGAAATAGAGAAGACATGGCCCATCCAGTCGAGGAGCCCATAGCCTAGTAACGAAGGCGATTATGTCAGAGAAAACTGCATTGTGAGGTGGCAGGTGCCAGGACAGAAGGAAGAGCCAGGTGCTGAAGGACAGGAGGAAGGGGTCCGAGCCCATCCTGGAGAAGGAAGGGTCAGCAGAAGTTTCTGGGAGGAAATGGCGTGAGGAGCCAGGCAAAGAAGGGAGGAAGGCACAGAACTCACAGCATAGAACACATAGACTCAAGAAATTCAGAGGGAGCGGTAGGGAGCCACAGTGCACAGGGCTGGGGAGGTACAGGGCAACAGGCACAGGACCCTCGGGTGCCCCAAAAACCAGGAACCACAAGCCCCCCCCAACCTAGGAGAACCCAGTCAGTGCAGGAAGATGGCCAGCCAGAGACCACCACAGAAAGGGTCGTAAACGCTAACATGGAGAATGAAGGGGTCACCGTGCACATCCAAACCAAGGCCGGCCTCAGCAGGTCCCAGGGAACGGGCTCCGAGAGGACTGCCCCTCCCACTTGTGAATTTACACCTGTCTCATTACAAGCCTACCCGGACAGAGGGTGCTAAAGAAGGCCCCCAAGGAGTCCACTTTCCCCGTAACCAGCTCATAATTGACTTCTTTCTGGTACTCCGCTGGGGTGAGAAGGCTCTCGGAAAGAATTCGGGCTTGGTATTTTCCTGGAAAACAAACAACTTTCACTGGGCCCCTCCGCTTAGAATTAGCACGTGAGCCCCTCGATGGCAGAGTCTGTGCTCAGCGCTCTCTCTTTCCCCAGACAACAGCCTAGTCCCACCCTCTGCCCTGGCCTCCTGCTTCCCTACAACGTGCGAGGCACAGAGTGCTGCCACGTGGTCTCGCGGAGCCCCACAGCTGTCCCCAGTGGCAACATCGCCTGCCTCATTTCTCTCAGGCCCCTGCTCCAACGTCACCTCTGTCAATAGGTCCTCCTGACCCCTCATAATAGCCTGCTTCCCAAATAGGATCCTCCATCCCCTGGCCCTTCCACCCGAGATGTTCTGCGCTGTGTCTGGCGTCTGCTTCCCCGACCAGAATGTCCGCTCCAGGGAAGCAGGGACCTCACTGTCTTTGTGCCTGTGTCCCCAGCCCTTAGAATAGCAGCTGCACATAGTAGGGCTTCAGTAAGTACTTGTATAACTTATTAGTTAATCGACTCATTAATCTACATCATACAAGATCGCTGTTGTTGCTGTTCTGCATTAGCTAGTTGAAGGAACGGAGGGCCAGAGTCAGGGAGGGACCAGTCACATCACCAGGTGCATGCAGCCGGGCTTTCCACCCCGTCTATCTGGGCTCCAGAGTTGCCCAGGCTCTCTAGGGGGAAATGGGAATGCTCACCCTCCACTCGGAGGAGGAATGAATCCTAACTCGGCATGCTAGCCAGTGCACGCACCCCTCACACCGGGAGGGCACTAACCGCAGTCCCTGACCCGACTGCTGCTACAAACCCCGGCCACGAGAGACAAACTGCGCGGATCTGCAAGGGAAGAGGACACAGCTGCTCTTCCTGCAGCCGCCACGCTCGGGCGCGGGGCTCACCGGTGACCGCGACGCAGGAGTCGATGGCGGGGCTGCGGCAGGCGCGGACGATCACCACGTAGTTGGTCTTGGCGAGCTTGCCCTCGATCAGCAGCCGGAACATCTCCGAGAGGCCCTCGGCCAGGGAGTAGGTGCACTCGATGATGTGCACGCTGTCGTTGCCGGAGCTAGCGGCCAGGCCGGCCAGCCAGGGCAGCTGCGCCGAGGTGACCGGGGCCGCGGTGCCGGGTGCGGGCGGGCAGCGCGGCGGCTGCGCCTGCTGGTACTGCCGGATCTCCGTCAGGTGCGACTCGCGCCACGAGCGCAGGAAGATCTGCTCCAGGTCCTCCATCAGGGGCACCTGGTCGGCTGCTGGCAACGACAAGACAAGACGGCCCGAGAGGCTTCAGCGCCCGCCCACGAACACGGAGCGCGGGCCTGGGGAGACACGTGCGGGCGGGCTCGGCAGTAACCCAACCCGCATCGCTCGGGCTCCACTGTCTTACAGAGGCTGGGAGGCTGGGATGCGAGCACCGGGAGGGCATGCGAGCGGGCACGCGAGCGGGCACGCGCTCCCCAGCCTAACCGAGCCGCAACTCGTCCTGCCCGCCTCTCAGTCTGGTTTTCAGCGACAGGTTCTAAATCACTCTAAGGACTGAAGCCTCCGACTTCAGGGCTTGTCTCCTTCCCCGCCCGCCCCTGAACGCGGAGCCGGGTGTCACACCGTCTGCGGTCTCCGGGACCAGCACTGTCGCTGGGCACACCGGGTTCCTTCAAGCGAGGCACTGCCACTTACTCAGCAGTGTCTCCACTACTGATCGTTCTATTGCTTCCAAATAACCACTGGTATAAATACCTCCACAACACACGTCTTCAGGGATGGAACCTACTAACCTCCTAAATTCTCACAACCGGGCTTCTAGAGCCAGCTAGTACACAGGATCGGGCTCTTTCCAGGTGGTCCAAGTGTGCCAACCCACCATGACGTTAAGGGCAGGTGAGGACACTGGGTTTACTGCACCCTTAGCTCCACTTGATACCATCGCTTGTGTTAATTCCACTGAAAAACATTACTTGATTTGTTCATTTGTGCTTCTCAGATGCCTAGTGAGACTGAATACTTCTAGCATTTCTTTCCTATAGACATTTTCTGGTGCATTTGTCCAAATTTTGTATCTGGGTGAGCTGGAGGAAAGAGCACCCCACTGCAATTCAGAAGACGTGCTCCCTCCCAGCTCCACCCTGCACCAGCTCGGACTGACAGCCAGCTATCCTAGGGTACTGGTTCCTGACCTGAACGACGGGGATCACACCACCCCCTCATCTGGATAGGCCACGATTTTATTAGATTAGCTGTTAGACCTCCCATCTCTAAAATCTTGCCCCTAAGCCCACACCCCCTTGTGGAATCACCGTCACCAAGCAAAGCTCTTGGGAGAGTTGTCTACCCTCACCACGCCTGTTTCCTCACCTCCTCTCTCCCACCCCCCACAGCACGCGCACAGCTTCTGTCCCCACACTGCTCGTACACACTCATCATCAGGGCGGCCGATCGCTTCCAGACACCCAAACCCAATGGCCAATAATGAGCCCTCACTCCACTCTTGGCCTCACTGACTCAGGGGACTAGTCCCTCTCCTGAAATGCTTTCACGGGATTCTGCGTCCATGTCTACTGTTCCTTCAACACGTGCTGAGAGCCAACTTTACACGGCTGGTACTGCTGGACACACAGACGAGAACGAAATCGACAATCCTGATCTCACAGCCCTTACATCCTAAGCAGGGGACATGCACCTAAAGTAAACAAATACACATGGTGTGTAATTTCTGGGGGTGCTAGTGCTCTAAACACAAGACAGAGTAGACAAAGCCACGGGGCCTGGGGAGGGGGCGCTGTCTTAGATACGGTGATGAGAAGGCCTCTCTAGATGACATATGAACCAAAACTCCGAGGTCATGAAGCAGTAGTTATGCAAATATCCTAGGCAGGCGCGTTTCTCGACAAAGGCACAGCCAGCGCAGGGGAGACTGGTATGCCTGGGCGGACAGCAGGGCTGGAGGGACTGCGGGAGGCAGGCCGGTCATGTGGCCCCTGGAATCCGTGCGGGTTGAGTGTGTGATACGAAGGCTCGGCAGGCTCCAGCAGAGAACAGACATGATCAGGCTCACAACTGTAACAGATGCGGTAAGAGCAGCTCCCTGGCAAAGGAAGGCCCGATGGGGACGGTGGACAAGGGTGGGTCTGGGACAAAGCAGGGCTTACCAAGGACTATGGATCATGAGGAAGAGCAAGACACACGCCATGTTTTCCCAGATTCCTGACTGTTCCAGGCAACATTCTCAAGGTTCCGCCCAACCGCATGCCTCCCCAGCTCTCCATCTACCTCCTCCTCCAGATCTCTGACTGCTGGGTCAGCAGAGCTCAAACGTCGGCGCCTTTCTCCCAGGGGCTCTTTTCCAGTCTCCCAGCTTCAGTGCAGATCATCACTGGGCCAGTGTTCCCTAAACTGACACCTGTAGCTACACCTTCTCCCTGGGGCTCGAGTCCTGTCCAGCCAAATCCTGCAACTGGCCCCTCAGTGGCCTCACGGGCATCTCAAACTCGAAAGAGCCAGGGCAGAACTTATGCTCACCCTCTGGCTCCACCATTCACCTGGGGGCTCAGGGCAGTACCCAGGCTGCACCGTTCCTTCCCTTCCCTCAGACAGACAGCCTACCGCCCTTACAGCTTCAGAAAAAAATCCAGCGCCACCCTCCCGTGACCCTTAGTGGTCAAAGCCACCTCCCACTTTCACTGGGACAACACAGCGCCTGTACCATCCAGCCCCACGCAGCAGCCGCTGTGGTCTTCTGGAAGTGAAGGTCAGATCATATCCATTCCAGAGGTGCTGCAGATTGAATTGTGTGCCCCCTCCCCAATTCATATGTGGATGCCATAACCCTCATTGTGACTGTCTTCGGAGATAAGGCCTTTAAACAGGAACTGACGTTAAGTGAAGTCGTAGGGTGAGGCCCTGGTCCAGTGGCACCGGTCGTGGTATGACTAGGAACCCTCTGTCCCTCTCCCCACACGCATGCGCCCAGGAAGAGCCCGGGGGCACACAGAGGAGGTGCCGTCTGCAAGCCAGGAAGGGAAGCCTCCCCAGAACCCACCCGTCTGGCACCCTGAATGTTGGGCATCCAGCCTCCAGACCGTGAAGCATAAATGTCTGCTGTTTAAGCCCGCAGGCTGAGGCACTCTGCTATGGCAGCCGGAGCTGACAGACACAGAGCTGTCTGTCAGTGTGTCTAAAGTGCAAACTCTTGGCTGTACCCCGAGGCCCTGCCCCTCCGCCGGCATCCCCTCCCCCACTATGCTACAGCCACCAGGCCTGGCCCGCAGCCCTCACCGGCCTCTCCCTTGCCTCCCCCACCTCCTCACGGGTCCCTCTGGGCCCCCTTCCCACTCGGGCCCCCTCGAACACCATCTCCTCACAGAGGCCTTTCTCCGTGACGCTGAGTCAATCCCCCCCACACACAGCTCCCTCTCCCTGCTCAAATGCCTGTTTACGGCTCCTCTCCCACTAGAATATACTCTCCTGCGGGCAGAGCCTTTGTTTTATTCCCTGATCCCTCTGTGCATCTGGAATGGCAGGTGCATTGTTTTTGGATTATCTCCATAGGTTCTGACCCACTTTGAGCCCTGCCCAGGGCCTCAGGGCTCTGACCTGACTGCAGCGTCAGCATGTTCCCCGGGCTTCCATCCCCACGGGCCCCGTGGCTTCACAAGGGCTCCAGGTGACGGGCCGCGATCAGGGCTTCTGCATTTCCCACTCCGCTGATTAGTCTACCAGCGACTCCCGCGCAACGGGAGGGAGACTCACCCAGCTGGACGAGATAGTAGACGGTGAGCAGGAGCTGTGTCTCCTCTGAGATAGGCTGTATGGTGGAGGCCCCATATTGCTCATACGCCCGAGAGATGGACTGTGAGTTCTGGTAACACGCGTACAGGAGGGGGCTCACGACCACATCGTTCAGGTTCCCGCATAGGTAAGGGAAGTTCCCGTGGCCTGCAGAAGGAGAAGCCACGTCTGCTTGGCAGCCGGCATTGGGCACAGCATGTGGCCCCCACACGTGCGGCATCTCCAAACACAAGGGGGCCAAAGCGTGCAGGCCAGTTGCCGCTGGGGTAACTCTCGTGCCCCGTTTTGGGGAGACCTCAGACTTCCGGCCCTTGCTGAGCTGGCGCAGCGGCTCGGATAACGGACCAGGGCTGTGGCATGTGTTCAGTGCCTTGTCTCTCATGTGAGCAAGTTGTGGCCCAGGGGGACGGGCCTGTGGCGGAAGCGTCACACCGGGCCGCTCCTCAGCATGGACTACAGAACGCTTCGTGGAAGCAGCACCTTCTGGCTCTCTGCCGATTGCCTGCCGGCCAGCGCCCCTCCCCACCCCGACTCTCCTACGTGGGATGCTGATTCACATCCCCCCGGGGCTCTTGAGCAAGCTGGGTTAGGAAAATAAATCACAGTACAGGCCAGAGGCTCCAGGCCCTGACAGAACATGACCAATGCTTTAGCGCACATTACAGATTCATTCTGATGACAACCCCCAGAGGCAGAAGAGCCCAGCTGGGTTGGACTCTCTGCATCGTGCACCAGCTGGGGGGGCCCTGGGCAGGAAGTTCGACATCGCTAGGCCTCAGTCTCCACATCTGTACAATGGGGTGAACACATGCAGTCCCCATGGGGCTGCTGAGATGAACAGATGTGCTAAATGTGTGTGTGCTGCCCTGTACTCAGCCGGTCTGTAGACTTACACACCAAACACACACTTACTGAACACCTGCTGTATGCTACATGCGGGCGTCGTGCTTGGCTCCAGGGAGAATCTGATGACTGAGCCAGTTCACACCCTCAAGGAATTGCTTCTCAAACCTGCGGGTGCATGAGGATCCCCTGAAAGGCAGCCTAAGACACAGATTGCTGGGCCCTACCACACAGCTTAGGATTCAGGAATGGGGCCTGACTGTGATTCTGGGATGCTCCTGGGAGTTCACGCCTCTAACAGGTCCCGGAGGGGGATGGTTCTCTGGACCAGGGACCACAAAGGGGGTGCCACTGCTCACCAACATTATGATTCAAGCTGCATGGGGGCCCAGATGACAAAGAAACTAAGGCAGCCTCACAGAGAAGGCACGGGGTGGATCTTAAAGCACAGGTGGGGTTTGGGCATGCGGTGGGTGGGGGCGGGAGGGGAGAGCCAGGGAAACAAGCATGTTACAAAGCGCTCATGGCTCGAACAGAGCAGTTGTGCCGGGAAGTGCAGTGAACTTGAGGAACAAGGAGGATGGTCTCCATCTGAGGTCATTAGCCATTAGACACAGGTCTGCTGGACCCTCACCCCGAATTTCCTGGGGCTCCTGGCTTGGGGGAGGTGCAGGTGCAGGTCCTGCCCATATCACTGTGCTCTGTTTTCCCGTCACTGTGTTCTCAGGGCCTACCACAGACACGAGATGGCCATGCGAAGAGCATAGGTAATGCTGCTGCATGCCGACTTCCGCCTTAATCAGTTAATAGGGTCCAATGGGATACTGGCCCTGTCTCATGCCCAGTCCAAAACCCACATTTGCACCCTTCTTCCTAAATACCCTGTCCACTTTTGGTTTTTTAGGAAAAAGGAGTGCCTCTCTTAGTTCTTAACTGCCTGTAGGATCTCCCTCCCACTCTACCACCCTCTCTCCTCTATTCCTCCAGACACGATACCAAATACAGTATTAACTTAATTAAGGATCGGAATGCACGCGCGTGCGTTATCATAGGCCAGCATGAGGGACCAGAGAAAACCATCATCAGACAAGTCTCGCCCAAGCTTCACATTTCAAGATCTCCTGCTTCACTGGAGAGGGACTTCTTTAGCTGAGCCAAATGTCTACCTCCACGCAGCGTACGTTGGAGGCCGACCGTCACAAAACAGATCAAATCTAGTTTTCTTTTATGCTTCCACAGGGTGACCATAGACATTCCTTTCCCAAAGTCAGATTTCATAGTCAAAATATACCAGTGACCCAGGGTGACAAGAGGACCACCCACCCGACCAGGGGTCCTTGAAGCAGGGGGCTGATGGATCCGTCTCCGATCCCTGGTGCTTCATACTGGGCCTCTCCACGGGGCAGCAGCTCAGTGATGTTGAATGAATGAATGTGTGAATGAACGAACAGATGGACATCGTGGAACCGAATCATTTCTCCCGGGCTCGTTGTGGAAGACCGTGACCAGCTCTAGAACTCTCGGCATCTGATCCGGGGCTACGCTAGTGACTGGTCTGCTTCGTTCTTTCATTGCCCCGGGCGGGGTCTTAGAGCTTTCTCAGGCGGACACCCCCGGCCTCAGCCTGTTGCCTGTTCCTTGCAGACTCCTCCAGGCTCCCCGACCTCCACCACTTGTCCCACTGCTATACTTGCCTTTAAATATCACCGGCTTGGCCTTGCATATTTTCAGCAAGTTGTCAGGAACGGACACCGGTTCTCCGGAGGCCACGACAGGAAATGTGACCGAAGATGGTCCCACCAAGCCAACCTGGGGCACGCAGGACATGCTTGCGCTCTCTAGAAACGTGCCAAGAGTGTTAGGAAGACGCGCAGAACGGGGCCTCCCTCTCCGGCAGACCCGACATCAGGCTGGCCTACACATCTGCTACAGCCTGACATTTACCCCCACTTAGGGGAACGCCTGAGTCTTGGAATCACAGATTCCTGAGGTCAAAGCATCTTTAAGGTCGCCTGATCCAACCTTCCCCACCAAACAACACAGTTTCCTCTTCAATCTCTCTGCCACGTGACAGGCAAGCCCCTTTTAAATTTCTTTAGTGTCAAGGAGCTAGCTTACTGCTGTACAAGGACCCTGGGCTCTGCTGTGCAGCTCCAACACGTGAAAGACCGTTCGGTCATACCCAAGTCTGCCCCCTAGAACATCCTCGCCAATTCATACAAATTCACACAGTGTGCAAGTGCACACACACCCCCGGGTCTCACCGGCAGCACCACCACCAGCCCCCAAGTCTTGGATTTTTGGCAAGGCCGCTGTCACTTACCATACTTAGCTCTGTTCCCACCACCCTGGGAGTAGCCACCATCTGCAGCTGATGGAGATTCTGGAGACCACCCTTTGTGGCGTTTTTTGGGGGGCCCGGAGTTTGATAAGATACCTAGACAACAGAGTGTAGATTAGGCTGTCGCTGAGGACGAGCTTCAAAACATTCCCCTGATTTGGAGAACACTTGCCATTTTAAAACATCAGAGCTTTACAATTGTTCTTAGCTGTTTTAGTGAAGCATCTGGGCGTGAGGAAACATCCCGTCCCTTTCAGTAAACATTTCATTCCAAACCACCCAAGTGCTGAGCCTTATCTCTGAGCCTCGGCACCCTATTCTTTAAAATGGGATCATAAACCCGACCGTGAAAGGTGGTTTGATAAAGACTAAAGAGCATGCACATAAAGCACAGAGTCTGGGCCCACTGACGGGCAGCCGCCAAGATCACATCCTCCTCCGGGTCCTCCTCTGAACATTCCAGTGAATGAGACCAACCACTGAAGCCACCATCACAGCTTCACCACTGGGGGGCAGTACTGCTCCACCTGTGCTCCGCTCCCACCCTAGCCTTGACCGCCAGCCTCAGACCAAAGAAATCAAGGGGAACAGAAGCCGGTGCTCGTGCTCGGTGCTCGGTGCTCGCCGCTGCTGTCGAGTCATTTCTGCCCACTCTAGCTAACAGCATGTGCATGACTCGTGCTTGATGTTCAAAACATCAAGAATCGGTTACCGTATTTTTTTGAGCAATCCGACACAAAATTTCCCCGACGTTTAGAGCTATACATTCAACTATGACTGCATGATAAACTCACCTGGGGAAGCTTTAAATCTCTCTTGTGCCTGGGCGCAAGCCCATCTACCCCAAGTAAACCAAAACCCAGCACCTGGGGGAGCTGGGGCATCGCGAGGGCCCTGAGCTCCCTGGTGATTCTAACTCACAACCGGGGTTGAAAACCATAGTTTAGAGCAATGTTTCTGTAAATGTGGTCTGAGAAGGAGCTGGACAGAAGCAACAGAGGCTTGTTAAAACTGCCCGCTCCCGGGCCCTGCCCTGACTATAGCACCGGATCTCTGGAAACAAGAGAAAACTGCCACTATTCCCAGGCACCCTGGCTATGCCTAAGTGCTCTGCAGTTTGAGGGTTATTGCTCTAGAGTCTCTTAAAGGTAATAAAGTTATTCTCACCTCTTCCTTAGACTGATCAGAAACGAAGAAAGTGAATAAAAAGTTAAAATACAAGGTACTTTGTTTACACAGAGCTTTCAAGCAGGTGGGCTCCTCTGACCACCCCCCACCAGCAATGTGGGAGGCAGCCACGATTATGGCCGTTCTGTTCAGACCACAGCTTCTACTGCCCGAACATCTGTCCTCGAGTGCCAACAGACATGAAGATGCCAGCGCCCCTGAAAACCACATTAAACTAGCAAGGAGGCGCTGGGCCTCGACACTAAGGACGGAAGGTCTACAGATATTTTCCCCTTTGGGACACAAGCTCTAGCCGCCCCTAGTGTGGACTCAGCTCATCAACTCTCCCAAAGTGACAGCCCCAGGAGCTGTCCCTGTGCTCCCAGTGTGGACCATTTCTCGCGGTGGCTCCTGGTACTGGGGAGGGGGTCACTACTTGGCACTTTGGGTGAGCAATTCATTATGCAGTCCACTCACTGCGGGACACGGAGCACCAGGACCCCCAGTGTGGGACCACCAAAGAAGGATCCTGGGCACCTGCTAACAGCCCCCACCAGGGGGCAGTACCTCTCCACTGAGAGCCAAGGAGCCACACAGCCCTCGAGCCCATAGTCAAGACTCCTTGTAGTTTCAGAAACAGTTTCTTAAACCTGATTTCCTCTCTCCCCAGAGCAGGCGGGAAGGCCCAGGACCTGTGACATTTTGGCTATGCTGTTAAAGCAACTCCATTCAGTAAGCATCCACGGCAGCAGGGCACCAGGGGCCCCGAGATGGGGAGGACACCGACGCTGCTCTCGGGAACTTCACTACCTGCAGGGCACACATGGCCGGGCAAGGAAGACAGACACCTGGGGCATCCCAGACAGGGAGGGAGCCCTCCTGCAGGAGGGGTCACCTGAGCTATGTCCTGAAAGGCACGGTCAGCCGAGGTTGGCCGCCGGGTGGCGAGAATGCTTTGAGATCACGATGTATGGCCAGGGGGTGGGGACAGGACAGGGGCGGCACTGAACCATCCCACACAGCCTGAGTGTGGAGGTCTCAAGCAGAAACAGCAGGGAATGAATGAGGTTCTACGGGTTGGCTGGGGCCAGATTCCAGCAGGGCTGGAGCGCTGCTAGGGACCTGGGGGCTTTCTCCTTCCACACGGCTCCTCATTCACCAAAGCAAGGCCCTTGTCCCCTGCTGATTGGGTGAAGGCTGGATGTGCACCTGCAGGCAGGGCAGGTGTCACAGGTCAGGCCTGCCGTCACCGTCCCAAAGGCTTGGTCCTTGGCCACCCTAAATTCAGCACCTCACAGTCACAGGAAGAAAAGTGGGTGCCTGCCTGGGGCTCCTTCTGCAGGAGGAGGGACAAAGGCTTGACCTTGGATCTGGTTAGGTCTGGGGAGTCTCAGGTCCAATTCAGAAAAGACACTGGTCCTTCAACTAAGAGGGAGACTCCCACCAGGGAAGTCCTCTACTGGCCACGTAACAGAAGCAGGGAAGCCTGGGCGAGCCTGGGCTGCCTCTCTGGGTCTCATGTTCCTCTTCTACCAGAGTGTGGGGCTGGACAATTGCTACGGGCACTTCCAGTGGATAGTCTTGGATCCCCAAATCCACTTAGCTGTGTGCATGGAGGAGGAGAGAGGGCACCCTGGCTCACTAAACGGCTCCCGCGGGCATGGAGGGGCAAGCACAGAGCCCAGAGTCAGACTCCATGGCCTCAACTCCAGCAAAAGGTCTGCTTAACCCCTTCGTTCACCTCCTGATCCTCCTCCATGCTCCCTCCCTTACCATCTCTCTTGCTCCCCCAACTGTTAAGTGGTAGCTCAGCTGTCACCTCCTCCAGGAAGCCCTCCTTGAGAAGACCAGCTCAGGGATGATGATGATGATGTGGGTGGCACAATGGTGTCCACTAGTGAGCTGCCAGATGTGCCCTGAATTTCCATACAGCCCATCTGACCCTCTAGCTGCCCTAAGAGCACAATTCTTATCTCCAGATGAGGCAACGATTTAGTCAGAAGGCTTGTCCAAGACCCCCAACTAATAAGAGACACGGTTGAGTTTCGATTTCACATTTATCTGATTTGGGAGCCCACGTTCTTCCCTTGACACCACGCTGCCCCCTATTTCTCCAGAACTCTACAGCCGTCCTGATGCGTAGCCCACAGGCGACTGGCCACCCACTGCTTCCTGGCATACACCCATCACCCAAGTCAGTGGCCAAAGCTGCGGTCCCACCCAGCACTGGGGCCTGGATGGCCCCCAAGACTCGGGAGGCACCTGCTGGCCAGTCCTGACTCGCCCTCTATGCCACACCAACTCCAGGAGGCACCGTGGCCCCAGCATGGTGGCTCCCGCAACCCCCACGACAGCCTGGCCCGGAGGAAAGCGCGACCCCCCAGGACAGGCAATGGCACCTAGCGCCGAGGGCCGCGGCATGGCCGACAGGTCGTTCTTCACCAGCTGTTGGTGCTTTGGGGAATCTCTGCCATTGAGAACGGCTGGACCCACGGCTGCCGTTAGCGAGGGGTGCTCAGAGACTGGTCCTGGCAGCAGAGAGAGAGAAGGGGGGGCGCACAGTCAGTTTACAGGACACTCCGTGAGCCCAGCTAGCGGGAAATTACTTTTCTTCCATTTTTATAAATGAGCTTTACGCCAAGTGATTCTGCCTACTGAGAACACACAAACACACACACACACACACACACACTCCTGTTCCAATGAGCACGGCCTGGGTGAAAGCAGGACCAGGGAGACCTGAGGAGCCAGGGGGGCCCCTGAATCCCAGGGGTGCACGCAAGGCTCTTCCGCCTGCCCCCCCTCCCCCTCCCGGCTCAGGCTTGTACCGAACATGCTCAGGAAACCTGTCAGGCTTGCAGTCGCCCAGCTCCGGGCTGCTCACGGGGCCTGGGGCTCCCCGGGCCTGAGGATAATGCTGGGGGAAGTTGGGGGTACTGCTCTTCCGAGCCTCACTGCACTGCTTAAATGCCCACATCAGCCAGAATGGTCTGGAAGGCACTCCAGAGTCGGGGGTAGCACAAAACGTTTCCTGTGGGTGAGGTGGCATGATGAGGGGGTTCAGAGCATGGTTTTGAAGCCAGCCGCCCTGTGTCTGAATCATGCTGATCAGTCCACACCACCAATAAGGGGATCACCTTCCGTAGCCAACAGGAATGCAGGACACCTTTCCAAATTAAAAACATAGCATGCTGTGCCGGAAACTACTACAAATTCAAGATGAAACACAAAGGTGCTGCAGGCAAAGAGGGCTAAAGCACGCCTCTTATTTATCTTGAAGAATGTGTGGCTGCCTCATCGAGCCCCCACGCCGGGGACACGCCAGGGACACGCCGGGGACACGCCAGGCCCACGGATCCAGCACCGCTGGCGCTTCGCCGCCTGCCGCTCACCCGCCTGCTGGGCTCCCATCGGGATGCTTGGCGTCATTCCAGGAACGGGCTCGCTGGAGAAGGCAGCCAGAGGCCCGGAGCTCTCCGCGGGTGGGAAGAGGGAACTCGAGCATGTCCCAGCCAAGGTCTGGCGGCTTCTGAACTCTAAGGGGGCAAGATGCACAGGTGAAAACCAATTCCCCACCGGTTCCGAAATGCTTTCTAGACTGGAGTTTGTCCCAGAAGAGAGCTAGATACCTAGATAACTCAAATGGTGCCAACACCTTCCTAGCTTTGCTTCAGGGTAGCTGGGGAAGGCGGGGGTGCTCCGTGCCAAGGACAGGGGAATCCATCTGGGGGACAGCTCTGATTATCAGGAGTTCCGGGAGGCATCGTGAGCATTTTAGAAAAAGGGATGACACAGAGTCACCCCATCGCTGCCCTTCAAGTCCAAGGAAAGAACAGACTATTACTCAGAAGGAGAGGAATAGCCAACACCCGGCTCCGCCTGACTCCGTCCTGAAAGTCACCCTCTTTTGGAAAGATGGACCCCCAGCAGTGCGGTTCATCTAGCTGATGAGGAACTTGGTCACAGCAAGTGATCACAGACTCTTATCTGGTCCCACAGTGGAAGAACCACTGCCTCCCAGGACCTAGAAAATGACTGACACACAGCAGGAGCTCAAGAAATACTCATCAAGTGATGTTAAGAAGACGAGAGGGGTGGGGAGGAACGCCCAGAGCCAGCCCCTCCTGAAGCCCTTCCTTCTCTTCATAGCAGCTGGCTGGGGGAGGCCAGGTGACCAGAAGTAAGCCAACGCAGACAAGTGACGGGTAAAAGGTTCTCGCTGAGACCCCTCCTGGGACATGTCCCTCCACAACTGGTTGGGGGGGGTATCTCAGGGACCAGGGACCACCTATGGCTGGGCCTCTGAAAATCCATCCCCCCCACTATCACCCTCTTCCCTCCGTAGATGACTTAGCCATGGGTGATACGGGGAGACAGGAGGGAGGAGAGAAGCCCAGGAACTTCTTCAAGGACAGGACTGTAAGGCTGGCCTTTCTATTCTATTCACAGAGTTCAGGACAGAGAGAGGAGAGGCATTATTCAAGCCATTATTCCTCTAAATCAGGGTTTCTCAGCCTTGGCACCACTGATATTTTAGACTGGATAATTCTCTGTGGGGGGCTGTCGTGCACGATGCAGGATTTCCGCAGTGTCCCTGGCCTGCACCCGCCAGATGACAATTAGCACTCTCCAGTCATGAGGACAGTAACGGTCTCCAGGCATTGCCACATGTCCCACGGGGGACAAAATCACCCCCGGTTGAGAACCTCCACCCCAAACACTTGCCACAAGAAGGCACAGCATGGTGTGGCCCTCTGTCAGCTTTTAAATGTCCCACACAATTTGGCAGGTACTAGACCCACCCATAACACAGAGAGACATTGTGTTTTCACGGGGCTGACCTTTGGCCTGCAATCGTGCCTGCAGAGCCGTCTCTCCTCAAAGTCCTGCTGCCTGGCACCTGGGCCCACTTGGAAGACCCCCACCCCCACCCCCCGGTTCGCCCACCCAATCCTGCTCAAAGCCCAAGTGCCCACCTGAGCCTTTCCAGCAAATGAGAGGTCCTTTGGTGAGAGTCCCTTGTGCGTTGCGGACCAAGTAATACTTCAAGTGTTTCTGCTTCTTGGGCTGAGTGGTCAACTTAAGATTTATGTGATTAGAGAATTCTGTGAAGTAACAGAAGCCTTTCTTTCCACAGCCAACACAATTCCCAGAGAAACCTGGGGGAGGAAACGAACCACGAATGTCTCCAACGTACCTTCAATATCCTCTTCAAATAATACAGACCTCATGGAGGGGCGCCCGGGTGGCTCAGATGGTGAAGCGTCTGCCTTCGGCTCGGGTCATGATCCCAGGGTCCTGGGATCGAGCCCCGCATCGGGCTCCCTGCTGAGCAGGGAGTCTGCTTCTCCCTCTCCCGCTCCCCCTGCTTATACACTCTCTCTGTCCCTCTGTCAAAAATAAATAAAATCTTAAAAAAAAAAAAAAACTACAGACCTCATGGAAACTCATCTTCATTCTGTGCCACCAACCAGAAAATTCCACAAGGCAAAGGTCCCTGGCACCTTATGCTGGGCCAGGGGTCAGTATGACCTTGACTCAAACAGAAGAAGAACCAAGAAGACTTAGTCATGGACAAACCGCCCCCACTCCCCCCACCCCGCCGGCAAGCTTGGAAGACTGAACTTGCCCCAGGGGCAGATTTTAAAGCCTGTTACACAGAGCAAACTTTACAAGACAAGAACTGTCGTGTTCAACTATCTACACTGATCAAGTACCTGTAACAAGGTGGTACGTCCCTATCTCCAGTCATAGAATCTCGACCCTAGGATGCACTGAGAGACCTCCCGGGAGCCCCAGATCGCACCCCGATCCCATGAGTTGCTGAAAAGAAATGAGGAGAGCTCCACGGTGCAGCCAGAATGGTGGCAAGGGAATGCTGGGGGCCCGGCAGCCAGGGGAGCGCAGACCGTCTGCAAGAGCGTGGCTGTCACCGTGTCGGTGTCCCGCTGCTGAGGCCCGAATAGGCCTTCCTGGGGAGGGACAGAGGTTCCCACCAACTGTGAGGCTCCAGAAAGGCTGCCCCATGACAGAACTACCTCCTGTGAACAGTTAAAATCCAGAGAGCACGCATGAAAAAAGCTTTATGAACTATCAAGTCCAATCAAACCATCCTCAGAACCGCTGGCTCACAGAGGAGAAACGGGCTGATTTGCCTTTCCCCCTACAGCTGCTGGTGTTCACACCCACCATCTCAAGAAAGCCTTCTTTAAGACCTCGCTTTGCCCACTGGTGCATCTGGTTTCTACGGTACAAAGTCCTTTGGTAGGGGAGCCCCTGAAGCTGAGACTAATCTATTTTGTCATATTCTCGGGCTGCAAGTTTACAAAGGTCACTCTGACTTTGCCCAGGAGGGCCATGTGGCCGTGTGCACAAGCTCTCCTTTTTTAAACAGGGTATTCCTGAGGCCTCTGGCTAACGTTCAAAATAACATGTTAGTGAAGGTTCACCACATCTGCACGGGGAAACGAGACATCTACGTTACAGAAACTTGCTGGATTTTCTGGTCTCTTATTCTAAGCAAATTTAATATTCCTTCAAAGGCCTTAGAAAGAAGGACAAGTCTCTTGGTCGAGCCACGGGACGGGTACAGGTTGGTTGAAAACTTCCAGAATCCTATTCTCTGGGCACCAGAGCAGAGAGACAAGGCATCAAGAAATATCAAACACCGTGCTCTCCATTTACTTGTTTTTAAGGGGACAGGGAGGGAATGAATGTACACAGAGAACCAGGGACGTTCTGGTCATCTGCTGTCCTCTGGGCAGGTCACTCAGCTTTACTGGCATAACAACTAGTCAATCGGGACAGCAAAACCTTCTTTGGGGAAGCCTGAGAACCAGAGAGGTAATGTAAGAGTCCAAAGTGGATGCAGACAGTGTGTCGCTCCATTCTAGCACAAGAACGGAGTGTAGACCCACAGACATGACATTCAAGGCCACCCCGACTTCTACCCAACCCCCATCTCCAGCTTCCGCTCCTGTTCCCCACTCTGCTCTGCCAAATCGCCAACTGGACCCCTCTGCCCACTCCCACCACCCTCCTGCCTCCAGGCTCATGCTCCTTCCTACGGAAGCCCCACCTGTGTGTGTCCCACTGTCACCCAAGGCCCAACTCAAATGTCGACTTCTTCAGAGCTTTCCTTGACCCAAAGGACTGAAGCTTGCTGTTCTCAACCCCCTACCGCTCTTTATACTGCCCAGAGGACCATGGTAACTTCTTCTTTTGTGTTTATCGAAATTCACGTCTTTTTCCCCCATAACTATCCCCATGCTCCAAAGCACCGGCATCATGGTGTGAGTGCACGTAGGTGGGGGCTGTGTGTGTACATGTAAGTTTATGTGCACAGACTAGCATCCAGCACATGGTAGACAGTCAGTAAATATCGGGAGCGAAGGCAGGAAAAACAAGGTAACGATCCATGTGAACACTTTAGGATTTCTGCATATTCTCTGAAATAATAACCTACTGTTTTTTATTTATGCCTTTGTCTCCAACCTGGATCCCTTAAGATACGCACAGCTCAACTGCCATCGAAGAATGAGGCCCCAAGAAATCTTCCAAGCTCTCGAGAAGGGATTCTGACACCAAGTGTTGAAAAGACGGATGGACAAGAATGACTGCCAGGCCGTGGGCTGCCACGAGCGCCGTGCCAAGGCCAGCACGGCCATCCAGAAGCAGCTACACAGATGTCAGGCCCTGGTTCCATGAGTAACGTGGGCTGTGGAACCGCGGCTCCCTTTCAGACGCAGGGCTGGGAAGCACAGACCATCAGGAACGCCTCCTTGTGGTTCAGAAGGGGGAACACGGTCCAGCAAATATTTAGGGAGGCAGCAAGCAAGCTGCTCTCCTGCTTTGGCAACAATTTCTGGCCAGGAGAACAGGCTGCTCTTCAGAGAGGTGATCTGGGACCACGGAAGGGGCTGATCAAGAAAACCACAGGACGGCTTCCCAACCAGTCCCAGGAGACCGAGGAAATGGCTGAAATCACCCCAGCTGAACACATGAGGTAATTCTAATTTTTCACGAAATTGTCTGCAAGGCAATAAAAGTTTTCACAAGGATGCATAAAATGAGCCATTCTCTTTGGAAATCTGCCTCAGGACTGGGGAGTTGATAATCTCTTGAGAAGACAGAGAACATGGGATGCAGCCGGAATCCTCAGACTCCCAGGCACAAATATCCAGAGTTGAGAGACACAGTTCCTTCGATGTCCTACAGCACAGGAGATAGTCCATAAAATCGAGTCTCTCATGACCACACACGGCGGCACTATCGCTGGTCCCACAGGTCCCCATCTAGCCAGGCTTGTCTGCCCAGGTGGCACCCGCTGTGCGTGCACACGGAGCCAGGCTCTCCCTTCTGTGGGAAGACCTCCTGGCAAGGCAGGGCTCAACGGGGCCTGGCAGGCGAGGTCGGACCTCGAGAGGGGCTCCGAGCTCTATTTCAGGATGGAGCCTTCAGGGCGCCTGGGTGGCTCAGTTGGTTAAGCAACTGCCTCCGGCTCAGGTCATGATCTTGGAGTCCCGGGATCGAGTCCTGCATCGGGCTCCCTGCTCGGCAGGGAGTCTGCTTCTCCCTCTGACCCTACCCCCCTCATGGGCTCTCTCTCATTCTCTCTTTCAAATAAATAAATAAAATCTTAAAAAAAAAAAAAAAAAGGATGGAGCCTTCATAGGCGGGCACATTTAACCTCTCTGTGCCTTTATTTCTTCATATACAAATGCCAGATAATAAGGTACCCAACTTGCCGGCTTATTTGATCCTACCGAGCAGTTTCTGACACACAGTCAGTGCTCAGTAAGGTGGCTGCTATTAATGTTTAGCTGCTGTCGTTGTTCTCCGACTGGCAAAACGGCACTGGTTTTTCAGGGCCGAGCTCAAACACCACACCCTCGGAGACACCCTTCCCATCACCGGGGCTCAGGGCGCCCTTCAGGAGCCCCCCAGCTACAACGTGCAGCATGGAGATGTAGTTTCAGCTTCATTTCTGCAGCTCCCTGAGCTGAGCCCCTGTCTGCCTGAGCTTTCACACCAGGTGGCAAACCCCCAGGGAAGGACCGGGTTGGACTTGACTTTGGGGCCCCGGGGCTGAACTGAAAGCCCACCTGCCATCCGGGGTCTACATTCCATGAAAGCTTAATGCTTTGCCTGCTGAATGAACACAGGACTCGTTTACACCCAAAGGAAAAAAGGGAACATTCTAGCTCAGTGTTTTCTTCCGTCTTAGCTGTCAGCCAATTTCGATGAATTACCGTCAACAACTGGAAACACACACGTAGATTTTCATCTTCTCAGACAAAATCCCTTGGTTGATTCAAAGTCACTAAAACAAGATTCCCTTCGTTATAGATTGGGGGGGGGTTATAAATTAGGAGCTAAAGCCATTCCTTCCCCCAAGATGCTTCACAGCTCCCATTTTATAGATCACTAAAAAGCACTGAGCCCAGGCCCCGGGGGGGCTGCAGGGCCACCCTGCCCTGTGCAGCCATCAGGGTTAATTGCAGGAAACCTAAACAGTGTTAAGTGTGCAAGCTGAGAGCATAAAGTTATTTTAAAAGAAGAAAGCATCGGTTATTACCAACCAGCCCTCGTTACCCACCTCCGATGGCTTTTTGGCGAGCAATTAACAAAGACCCCACTTCCTCTGCACTGGCCACCTGAGGAGCTGGAGCTGTTAGGGGGCTGGCGGCCAATGCACTGAAAGATTCTTGTCTCCACCTTTCAAGACCCAGAACCTCCTTGATTTACTGCCCTCACAATTCCTTTACAGTCACAAAGTGGTGGAATTCAGCTGGAGCCCCGGCTGCCGCCAGATCAAACACTGACCAAGTCACCAGCCCTGTCCTACCAGCAGGCTGCATCCTGAGTGGGCTCGATGAGCAAATTAAACCTAAGACGGAAGGACGCCATGAGCTTCTTGGGCGGAGTGAATTTTCCAGGATTACTCTTGTTTTCAAGAACGAGTGACGATAAGCCCACACCGGCCTGAACCTCTTCTCTCTCGGGTCACTGTCCCAGAGCTGTGTGTGTCCCTGCAGCCCACATTCACCCGCCTTGCTTCCCAGCGTTAACCCACTGCCGCGTCTCCTCGAGGCAGGAACCATTTCTTTGTTTTCTGTGGCTCCGTTCTTGTCCTCCCCTTCGTCTCTCCTCCCCTCCGGTCCTTTACGTGATGCCTCAGACATAAACTGTGCTTAATAAACATCCACTGACGTGCATGTACCTACTCAGCTTTGGGGGCTGGATCAAGCGTGAAATTTAATGTTCCACAGTGAAGACTGTTCCTGATGCTACATCTGGACCAGATCATTACGGCCCTTCCGCCTGCCTGGTCCTCTTCCAAAGGAGACACCAGGCCCGGTGAAGAAGCCAGACTGCCGAACAGCCAAGAGCACGTGTGGGAATCACTCCCTACTTTATGGAGAAGGTATGACTGTTCTGCAAGCAGGAACACACACTCGGCCCTGTCCTCCCTCCACCTCATGTCTGATGGCTTCTGAAACCACCCAGGACAGGTCTGTACCCTATTCTTGACACAGGTAGGCACTTAGAAAAGGTGTGATGAACAAACATCCAAAAAAAGTGAATTCTAAAGGACGGGTTCTCTGTAGGAGGTTCGTCACATTTTAAAATAAATCTCATTTACATCCTAATTCCACACAGAAATAGCCAACTGAAAAACACAAACGGGACAGTAGGACCTGCTGAGGAAGAGGTCCCCAAAGGCGGCCTGCTCCTCCACCCCCAAAGGCCTCCCTTGTCCCTGCCGCGCATGCAGATGGAACCGCAAAGAAAGGACTTACCAAGAAGAGCGTTGTGCCCATTATCATCGGGCAAGAACCTTTTGTCAACGGCACACACCAGAAGATGGTCCGGCAGGCTGGGGGCCTTGGCCCCCACGAGGAGAAAGCCTGCAGGGACGTCGATGGGCTCACTGGAAATGGAGACGAGACGCAGGTCCTTTCCCGCCTGGCAGAACCCTAGGAGGAATGGACAGGGCTCACATGTGCGCCAAGGGGCTTCCCCAGAGCCAGGCTCTGCATGGGCAAAGGGAGGACATTCCAGATCTCGTCAGGAACAAACCTCACCTCTGCGTGTGGCTGACTTTAAAATTAGTTCCAAGAGACAAAATATAACCATATGTACTCAGGACGCTTGCTGCATGTTAATTCCTCTGAAGACTATCGTGTCACCATATAATATTCATGTACAAATGAAACTCAGCAGGAAAAATAGTAGACAAGTGGCGGTCAATTAAAATGTATACAAGATAAATCCATAAGAAATTGTGAGTAACGTGGTATTTTTTACACCCTGCATTTTTCACATGTATGAGGAAGAGGCAAATGTCACAAAGGAGGAGCCAGAGCCTGGTAACGCTGGCTGCCTCTGGGGATGGGACTGGGGCCAGGACACAAGGAGAGTGATCATCGAGGAGGCTTGCACTCTATACCCTTTTGAACATTTTGTATTTTAGAGCTTTTAAACGTATTTCCCATTCGAAAAATAAGTGCCCTAAAATATCTGGAAATAAAAGGAGAGAAACAGCTGAGATTTATTTGGAGGGGTCCTCTCCCAGGTCTCCCTGGATGAGGGCACATTCGGCCCCATCTCCTGGGTCAGTTCCATCCTTAGTTACCGACTGAGACAATGAGAGTTAACATGACCCTGACGTCCCAAGGCTTTCCTGCCAAACTCTACAGCATGAACAGACCCCTCCGGCATGCACCTGCTTCACCATCTACAGCACCTGTGTCCAGAGTCTCCCACCTGCCCCCAGGGGAGGGCCACGAAGGGACTCTGAGGGGCGGGGAGGTTGGCAGGCCCGGAGCCAGTGCCCACTGTGCACCAGGCACTGGACCAGGTTAAGTTCTGCAAAAGCTCTCATTGGATCACCTCTGGGGAAGTGATTCAGCCCCCAGTTTGCAGAGATGGAAATCGAGGCTCAGGGAGGTTCCATGATTCGCTCAGAGCTGCTGAGAGGTGGGCCGGTATGGAGCCAGGTCTGCCCCTCAGCTTGGGGTGGTTCCCCTTCATTGTCTTAGGGAAGCTAAGCAAAGTCCTGAGGCTGAGGTCAAGCACCCCACAGGCCTTCTACCTACATGGCCTGGGCCCTTCCTTCTGAAGAACTGGAGGAAAACAGGCCATGGACAGAGTGTTTACTGTGTTGACTTGGAAATTCTTTGAAAATCACTATAATGACCACTGGACAGTTCACGGTTTCCTTCTTTAATTAGGTGACCTTTTAACATGTGGACACTAGAAGTCCTACCTCATGAAGAGCCATTGCGCCGGTTTCTCTCTCCCTGGAACAGTAGCCCTGGTGATGGCTGACTGTCTCCCCCGCCGCCATCCTGCACAAGGTCAAGTCCAGGCCCACACACAGGGTACCTGGGACCCCTACACCCCATCTGACCACTGCACCAAGCCCTGCCCAGCCACACCTCAGACCCCTACCTAAATAAGCTGCTAGCAGCTCCCCAGATGGGCTATATTCTCAACCTTCCTGAGCCTTTGCACATGCTGTTCCTCTGTCTGGAATGTCCCAGTTTCCCCCAACCCTCTCACAGACTCCTGCTAATCCTCCGAAACCCAGATAACGGGCCACCTCCTCCAGGAAGCCTTCCCTAAACTCTCTACCCGCGTAAGGAAACTTTCCTGTGCTCCCAGGCACCCCTGCTTGCCCACCCTACCCTGTCGGCACTTTCCACGTCGTGTGCAAAGTGTCTGCTTACCTACATAGCTCCATTAAACTGGGAGCTCTTCTACCTTTTATCTCCATATTTCCAGAGTGGGGGGCCCAATCATTAGTGAATTAACTGACTAGTGACATCCCTCGACTGGTATGGGGACAGGGCAGATGAATGTACACCATTCAGAGAGTTTGTCCCACTAGTGAGTGACAGAGCCAGGGGTTTACTCCAAGTTTCTCTGAGTGCAGAGCACGAGCTCTTATCATCAGACCAAGGTGCCCCCCACGTGGCATTCCCGTGCCTTGGGTCCTCAACACTGCAACAGGAGTAACATGCTGATTCTACAGCGTTCCTGAGAGAACACATATCTGCCTTCTTCAACAGTAAATTACAATCGCGGACAAAGATTATTCTCACTAATCAGTCTAAGAGAAACGTCAGCGCAAGCAGACCCGAACTGGGAGATATATTCTAGTTTCCAAACAACCAGTGTAGAAAAATGAACTGTTGGACCCAAATCCATTCGTAAAGGTGAGCTCTCCAAAGAGTGCCGAGGGTCGGTGAGCCTGACAGTCCCAGGGTGGTGTAGCCAGGGCCCAGGGGCACAGGGGACGCAGCGGGGCATAGCCGCAGACTCTGGGCTTGGGGGGGGGGGGGCCCAGGCGCCAGGCTTACCGTCCATGGTACAGCAGCCTTCGGGCGGAGGGTGCATCTGGTAGGGATTTGGGGGACAGTTGGGCTCCAGTCCCCCTTCCCCCTCTTCTTCCTCGTCCTCATTGTCTACTCGGCTACCACCTAGAAGCGGCAAAGGGGAGGGAGGAGACAGGCAGAAGCCAGGGGTCAGCAGGTCTCAGCCATTTAATAATTAACCCATCCCTACAGACACGCTGGGAGTCGGGCATCGTGCCCCTTCTCTGCTCAGAGGGGACAGCTGCGGTCAGAGGACTTTCCCAAGGTCACGGACTCAGGCTCCAAGCCTGGGGACAGCTGCGGTCAGAAGACTTTCCCAAGGTCACGGACTCAGGCTCTAAGCCTGGCCTCACGACTTCAAATTCAGGTTCCTTCTCTTTCCATCCAGCAGAGCTGCCCGAGTCCGCTCACGCACGAGGGTTCAATGCAGACATAACTGGTTGATAAGAATGGCACATGAAGCACTCCAAAAATCTTTCTGTGGGAGGTGCCACAGATTAAGATATAGACCATTTTACAGAGAGGGACCCAATGACTGGCCCACAGCTCTTCGGTGACCTGCTAAGAAGCACAGCCAGCGGGCTCCCAGGTGCATGTGAGGCCCATGTTCTGCGGCTCATGTTCTGCCATTGACTATCCAGCTTCACTTAGAATACAAAATATAGTGTGAACTGCCTCTCCCATCATATAAACTCTACGTGTTTATTTATCCCCAAGGGAAGAGTGGATGCATAGACAGGACTAGAAATACAAACACACCCAAATCTGGCACATACACACAAAGCGCCATTCCAGAACAAGGCCAAGCATGTTATGACTTTAGGAAACTTTTTTTTTTTTTTAAGTGCAGTCGCATTTTTGGAGTCCTGGCAAACATGGAACTGGCCAGAAGAACCAGGGATTGGCCATGGAAATCCCACTGCTCCCTGCTCCATCGGGGCAGTAAAAGAGCGTCTTGTCATTCCCCGCAGACTCTTGGCTCCCAGAGAGTGGGGTCCCTGCCCTCGCTCATCTCTGTGACCCAGGCACCCCACAAAATGCTTGTGCAGAGGCAGTGCCCAGGAGACCCATGCCCAGCTGATATGGGCATACACCCTCAGGCCCCGTTTACCCAGCACTGCTCAAGAAGGGGTTTCATCTAAATCACGGATCTGTACTTCTGAAACAAATAATGCAATATATGTTAAGAAAAAAAAGAAGAAGAAGATAGCAGGAGGGGAAGAATGAAGGGGAGTAAGTCGGAGGGGGAGACGAACCATTAAAGACGATGGACTCTGAAAAACAAACTGAGGGTTCTAGAGGGGAGGGGGGTGGGGGGATGGGTTGGCCTGGTGATGGGTATTAAAGAGGGCACATTCTGCGTGGAGCACTGGGTGTTATGCACAAACAATGAAGCATGGAACACTGCATCAAAAACTAATGATGTAATGTATGGTGGTTAACATAACAATTAAAAAATTATTAAAAAAAAAAAGAAGAAGGGGTTTCATCTAAATGAATTTCCAAGGTTATGGAAGTATCATCCTAACTCCTTTTAATAGACATTTTTGGCCAAAATCTTTCTCAACTTGTCCAGGTTTAAATGTCATTTAGTAACTAGCATGCAACTTTCTTCATGGAATAGGGTCATTATAAGCATCCTTAAATGGGCTGGGCTGGAAGACAGTTTTTCTTCTTTTTTGTTTCTCTGCCTCCTGTTTTAGTGCTCGTTTCTGTGTTCCCATTTCTCCTACCTCCTCTTCCTCGGCTCTCGCACCCTCAGTCCATCCAGTGGGTAAGCGGTTCTAGGTTAATAATGGAATCGTGTGCAGTGGAAAGAGAGGGGCTGGGAATCAGGGAACTCAAGCTTCAGTTCTCAAGCTTGCCATTGTCTGTGTGGCCACAGGAAAGTTACTTAACCTCTCTGTGCATCAGATCCTGCATCTTTAAAATGAGGTGGTTCTATAGGGCCACTTTGAGCTGCTATAGTCTATGTGGGGGAATACGGCCCTCAGCATTGCACAGTCTTTCTGACGTGATTCAATCAGTACAGTGGCCAACATTTTAAAGGTGCCCATGAGACAAGAGGCAGAAGAAACTGAACATTTTAAGCCAGCTCATGCCCGTGACCTTGGGTAGGTCAGAGCGGGAAGTGAAGAACCCTGGTGTCTCGTCTTTCTGAGCCTAGAGTACACCAAGGTGGCAGGAAGACCGTAAAAAGATTACCCAGGAAGCATACAAGCGGGGGGAGGTGGGGATAAACTCGGAGCCTCCTTCAGATGCTTTCTTCCTGCCATTAAATGCAGGCGTGGAGTGGCTTTAGCCTAAGGGATAGAGTTCCGCCCAGACCCCAGGCGCCAGCTATGCAGCACAGGGCCCCATGGGGGCTGGGACTGTCCTGCGGCCACCTGCGGAGTGGGCGGCACAGAGCGCTTGGCTGCACCATCCACTCTCCTCCCGGGGCCGGGACTCCAGAGGCTGGGAGGGAAGGGCAAAGACCCCAACAGTCTGAGTAAGAAGAAGCAAGAACTCAGAGACCCTGGAGCTCTGAGGGCACACAGGAATGCCTGTCTGCAGTTATTCTGCTAAAGCCAAATGGAAGAGGAATTCAGACTCTCCAAAAGAATGAAAGAGGAGGTTCTTCAGCCTCAGAAAGTCAAAGAAAGAGCTCAGAATCCAGTGGATGAGAAAGCAGACCTCAAAGGTCAAAGGTCTACACCAGACATCCCAGGGCCTTTGATGGGATCAGTCAGGCAGTGGCGAGGGTGAGGAGACTTATTACAGCCAGGAGCAGACCAGACCAGACTGCTGGCCAAGGTCGGGGGCGGGGGGGGGGCGGGGGGGGGGGCGCGCATTACCACTGCGTCAGACAAGACCAACCGGATTGGGAGCTGAGGACCTTAACAGGAAAACACAGACGCCCAGAGATGCTGTTCCACTTCTTCACTCTGCAGAGCTAAATTTTCTTTCCTTTCCAAAGAAGAAACCACATGACATTTTGAGGAGGGTGGGGCTGCAAGAATTAACCGCATCTTGTTTAATTAGTTAATACTTATCTCAAAATGCTGGGGTGGGATTTGTTTTGTTTGCTCTTTCTCCAAAAATTAAAAAAAAAACTAAATAGCCCATAAAAGCCTTTTCCCCTGGAAGGAGGTGTGGTAAGACCTCTAATCCAGGGAACAAAGTCATAAGGCCCCTGCTCGGGAACACGGAAGATGTTAACAGACCCAGGGGTGTTTAGGATACCAGCAGCCTGGCCATAAAAACCATCTTTAATGTAATTGTCTGAGGAAGGACAGCAGTAAGAGACCCTGGCAGACAGGCAGACAAAACAAGGTGTGGCCAGGACAAGCCATCGGCGCCAAGTTTTATGACGCAGAATCCAGGCGGAGAGCTGTGTGTTCCGTTCATGGTGACATCCAGCAAACTAAAAAAGAGAGTGTTCCCCTTCCCACCAGACCCCTCCTTTGTCCTTCCTGCCCCTCGGGAGGATTTCTCTATTCTGTTTGCGGACGAACAGGAAAAGCTGGAGGGCCTGCTCTGGTTTTCGTACAGGGGGGCTGCACCGATAGCTGGTGGGGCGCCTGCAGCACTCAACACGGGAGGCATGAGAAGGGGACGCCTCAAAGCTGTCCCCGGAAAGTGCCACCTGCCCAATGCCCTATCGGCAGGGGAGGGCATCCCAACAAGTCAGAATGTTCGAGATGCAGCCTCCCAGGTACTCCGTAGAGATCTTAGGCAGGAGGACAAGCTGGCAGGGAACCTCCTAGGGCTTGCTCCTCTCCCCCTCTCTCCCCCCAGGTGAGCACCACACCACCCCCACCCCCACCTACTTAACCACCTGCTGTCCGCTTTCTATCACAGAGCTGCCAAAGCTAAGGGTGCAACTCCCTGACTCGGGCACTCCTTCGACACTGCAACCTGCAAGCAAACCCATCTCCCAGCGTCCCAAATCATGGGGTTTAATCACTTTAGTAGGTGCAGGTGGAAAGAACTTTGTAGATTTTAAGGTGCCATTCACATGGACTAAGTCATCATTGTCACCATAATTAATTTATCATTAGCAACAAAGCCTTTCAGTACTGAAAGTAGCTAAGGCTGACTGTTTAATGCATACATTTTACATAAGTCTGTCAGCTAGCCAAAAACACAGCCTGTACCCCCCACTCATTTCTCATCTCCTCCCCGTGTCGCAGTGACGCTTCCCCTGCTGGAAAACGTGCGTACTTTCGATACGTACAGAGAATTCTTGGTTTTCCTAATTCATGCTTTTGAGCATGGTCCAGTTTCTCCCAGACCCTCATCCAGCTCTTTTAGGTCCTCACTGTGGCTGTTTGTAAAGTTAATGTTGTATGGACGTTTCAAAGATGGACACAAGGAACTGTGTGTCCCTGCTAGAATAAGGAACTATCAGATTCCACACAAGCAACTCTGTGCCTCATTTTCCCTTATGTGCAACCCTCCCAGCCAGCCATCCCCACACCCTGCCAACACACACACACACTGACCCACACACATGGTGACTACCCCAACACAGGATCTGTCATACTGCCTGCATGCCTTCTTAACTGATTTATTTTTGTTTCAAACAATGGTCCTTTTTGCCTTCAGTATCAAAGTGAAGTCTGCAGGCAACTTCCAGTGGAAGGCATAAACTGACCAAAAGTCCCATGGACTGCTGTGGGGTTACTTCTGACATAAAAAACACATGGCTATTAAAGAGACACACTAAAGATTGAAAACACAACCATTTTACTCTCTGGATAGCTAAGTAAATCCTAAAGTTGTCCCCATGCCTGAATATAATTGATTCATTCGTTCCTGGCACACGTTCAATTCGTAAGGGTTTCTTCTTGGTTTTTTCCAAAGTTTCCAGAGGGCTCTTGTATCTGCAACCACAAAGAGAAACCACCTAGAGACTATTTTGCAAAGATAGGGCCATGAATCCTGGGACAGAGAGAAAAAAATAATCACCAAGGGCCAAAGCATGTTAAAATTTCTGACTTACCCAAGTGAGAAGGTCAAACCTTCTAACGAGAGCATCAGTAACAACCAGCTCACAACAATCCAACGCAGCCCTCTTCCTTCCCCCTGTTATCCAATGAATAACTGCATTCCTTGCAACTTTATGGCCGAAACTTAGTCTTGGGCAAGGAAAAAGGTAGGTGCACCTTTCTTTTTCTAATAATTCTTTTCTGCTAGACTGTTCCGCACAGAGGGAGGAGGAGCGAGTTCCCCATTCTGTTACAACAGGAGTTGCACCAGACGCAGGACTTACCCTAGAGCATCTCCTACCTTCCAGGGCAGAGAGCTGTGGCTCTGTTTCCAGATAGAGCTGGGAGAAGACCGGCCGGGGCACCAGGCTGCTAGACCGCAGGGATGCCTCAATGGAGTTGTGCAGGACCTCTTCGAAGCGCGTCGTCTTCAGCTGTCCGGCGTAAGAGTTTCCCATCTTCAGAAAGGACGACAGAGGATGCTGTTTAAAATGACATCTCAGCGTCAGTTCAAAAGACTGACGCTGTGCCCGAAGCCCAAAGGCAGACGTGAACCAGTCACAAGGAGGGAAGGGCCAGGGAAGGGCCGTGGACCGCCCCGCTCGGCCGAGAGGAGAGGGCGGCTCTCAGCACCAGCTAGCGCTGGGCAATGACAGGAAGTTGCCGGAGTAACAGCCTTCTCCAGTTCCGCACTCAGATAGCGGAGGCTGACACCTCTTCACAGATTGCACTGGAAACCGGCTCTTTCGTCATCCCTGGTTCCACAGACCGCGCCCCCCCCCACGCCGCCCCGCCTTTTCCCTGAGATGGGATCCGGCCCTCAAGAGAGCTCAGACAAATGATGGTTTATTTTCCTTGACTTTACAGAAGAATAGCCCAGTGCCACTTATGTCTGGGACCGCGGCTCACAATTCCACCATCTCCAGATTGTAGTATTACAAGACCTCCCCGCACCTTCTCAGAAGGTAGGCTAGCAGATTTCCCATCACTGCCTTTTCTGCTAAAAGGCCAAAAGTTAACATTCTTCCTTTAAAGTGTTTTTGTAGCTTATTACCATTTCCGTTATTCAAGTAATGTAGAATTACATCTGGAAAACGTGGAAATCTAGAAATTACAGAAGAGCATTAACAAAAGGAAAAATCACTGATAGTCCCATCCCCCCAAGATAACCACTGTGATTTTTTTCTTTTTTTTGGTAGCAGTTTAAGATATAGTTCACATACCATACCATTCACCCACTTAAAAGTGCACAACTCAATGGTTTTTAGTATATTCAGTGCCGTGCAACCATCACACATTCAATTTTAGAACATTTTCATCACCCCCAAAAAGAAACCTCGTACCCTTAAGCTGTCACTCCTTAATCCCCCGCCCCCAGCCCCTGGCAACCACTAATTTACTTTCTGCCTTTGTAGATTTGCCGCCTCTGGAAATTTCCTATTAATGGAGTCCTGTGATCTATGGTCTTTTGGTGACTGGCTTCTTCCAGATAAGCACAATGCTTTCAAGGTCCTTCTGTGTTGTCATGAGCATCAACACCTCATCCACACCATGCTAGGATGATGAATTCTTTCCAGACTTAATTTTCTTCACAACTTGGGGATAGGAGGGAGACGGGAGATTATATTCACATAGTTATAATCTTTCTATAAATGAAATTTTTGATTCTGCACTTTTCACTGGACATGAACATTTCACTCAAGTCCTCTTACAAATGCTTTTAAAATAACTGTCATGACCGCATCATATTGCGTTGAGTGGAGGTGCAGATCCTTGCTCAGATCTTCTCTCTGATCATACGTGGTAAACCTCTATGTTTAGCACTTCCGAAGGAGCAGCACTTAAATTTATATTCCTAATGTTTTCCATTTATTTTCTATTTCATTAAAGTTAGCTTTCTGTTTCCTCTTGGCTTAATCTGTTGTACTTTTTCCAAACTTCTTAAAATCATCTTTATTTTCCACCTCCTTTAATAATGAAGCTATTTCAGGCTACATACTTTCCTCTGGATGTCTCTTTCACTATGGCACATAGGTTTGGTATAAAGTGTTTTCCTTTTCATTTCTTTTGAGACAGAAATCCCCCTTTTGATTCCCTCCTTAATCGGGTTAATTATCCAGGAATGCATTTTTAATTTCTAAATAGTCAAGATTGAAGGGCAGGAAGTTAGCCTTTTTTTTTTTTTTTTTTTAAGTAGGCTCCACACCCAACGTGGAGCCCAAAGCAGGGCTCAAACTCATGACCCTGAGATCAAGACCTGAGCTGAAATCAAGAGTGAGACACTTAACCAACTGAGCCCATCCAGATGCCCTTAGTCTTACTTATTTCTAGTTTGTATTGGGTTATAATCATGACTGTGGTCTTTAGAAACTCAACTTTTAAAATATGAAGGGTTTCTTTTTGATGGATACCAGATGGATTTTCACAAAGAGCCTACCGATGTTAGGTAGGCGTTAGGTAGGTATACGTAAAAGAGATGTATAAACTCTCTTCAAGGGAGGAAAGGAGATAGATCCTTCAGTACTTCCATATCCTTATGTATTTCTCATCTACCATACTGCTGATTTTCAAACTAGCATTTGACTTAAAGAATCCCAGCAGATGCCAGTGCCAACATGACCACAGAGCAGTAGTAGCTGGTGCTACATTACAGTGACACCCGCGGTCACACCAGCTGTGAGCCCGGCTTCACGAGCCAGCCACCACCTCACACGCGCTCTGACTTGAGACGCACGTAGGAAAGCCTCCCTTGTTTGGGCGACACAGCCATTTCAAGATGGGCCCGCTGGTGCCCTGAGGGAGCTCTGGTTTCCCTCTTGACCGTAAAATGGGCCAAGTAGTCACGTTGTTTCTCTGCCTCTATTGTAAGGAAGGCCCAGCCTTTCCTCTTCCAAATACAAGTAAATGAAAACCATTAAACACTTGCTGCTGGGAGCAATAATCCCTGACCACAGGGCCCCTTTGCCAGCCCCTGCTTCCAGCCTGGGGAAATGAGCCTCCAGAATCAGCCTCGCACAGAGAAGGTGCTGGAGAAAGAGGTCAGCTGCCGGGAGCCCCCAGGTAGCCTGAGCACCCCCCAAACAGCCCAGGTCAGAAGGGGCTCCAGGGTCCTCATGTCTGCCTTTTTCCTTGATCTGATACAATGACCCCCTGACCCCTCAATACACAAATGAGGGGTTACTAGCCACATTTGGGGACCCTTGCATTACTTTTGGTTCAGGGTAGTCTATTTATAAAGTTGCTGCAAATTAGTAACATCACAAATGTCTATTTCTATAGCTGTCTGAAGAGCTTAAGGCACACAGAAAGGAGCTTTAAGTCCATCCCGTTTTACATGGCATCTCTACAGAATCATGCTCAATGATCAAAAGAAATGATGGAGGCATCCATACCCTACCTTCCCAAGGTCCTGTCCCACCCACCTGACAGCTGATTGGCACCCTGAGCCCAGAGGGTTATAGTTATAGTAGAGTACAGTTATAGTAGACAGTGCCTAATGTGCACGGAACAATAAAAAGGAAAAGAAAGAACTCGAGCATTCACTGTCCAACTACTGTGTGCAAGGTTCTGTGCATGCTCCCTTGCCCAACACGTTTGGAGGTCAGGTGAGCGATATTATGAAGCCCATTCTAAAGATGACAAATTCAAGTCTTGGAGATGATAAGTAACCTGAAGGAACTTCTGTTCAAAGAAAAGAAATAGAATTGGGGTGGGTGTGGGGGAGAAGGAGCAGGGAGGGAAGGCGGGGAGGGAATGGAGGGAGGGAGGAAGCCCGGGGGAGGAGAGGAGAAACGCAAAAGGAACCAAGGCACAGAAGAGTCTTCACACTCAAAAAATGGAAAATTGTGCAACCCTAAGCAAACATCGAAGCTTTAATATCTATAAGCAAATACAGAGAAAAGGTACCCTACACCCTACCTAATGATGCATCTGAAATCGTAACAAGGAAACATGGGTAAATAAGGAGGGAGAAGGAGCACTGAGAATCCAAGCAAATCCTGTGGCCCTTCTGTTAGTACCTGGGGGGGGCGGGGGGGGGGCGCAGCACAACTGACCTGTGTGGCAACTTCCTACCTGCAGAACTCTAGCCTACAGACAAAACCACCTGTCAGGTGAGAGGCTTTGGGAGGGGGAGGGCAGAGCAGACTGAGGTAGAGGCACAGCTGGAGCCCTTGGACGTGTGAGAATCCAGCCCTCACCCTCATCAGAAGGGGAACAGGAGAGCCTAGCTCGGGGTCAAACCCGGAAGCTCCAATATCTTCCCCAAGGCCTCATGGAAGGAAGAGAACACCTGTGAAGGCCCGGGGCTGCAGTCTCCCCCTGCTCAGCTCTGACTGCGCCCTCCCTGCGCAGGTCTCTGCCAGCCTCCTGCTACAGCTGTTCTGGCCTGTGAGCTGCAGGGAATTCTTCCACACCCTGACACATCATCCCCCACTGCCTGTCTTCCAAGGCTAGTCCACTTCCTCCCGATGCTGGTGCACGATTATCTTCAACCCCAGAACCTGAACCACAACCTTCGCCATAACGCACAGCTGCAGGAGACTGGAAAGAGCATGTGTGACCCCAAGCGAAGTGTCTGACTCACTGGACCTTCGTGTTCTCATCTGTAAAATGGGCACTCCGAAGGGCTGATATGGAGAGTAAAAGAGACAGAGTACATGGAAAGTGCCCAGCATAGCAGCTGGCAGTCAGGGCATGATCGTTAATTTCTGGCGAAATCTGCATATTCACCTGAGAAGAATTTCGGATCATAAATGACAAGTGACACAAAGTGCTACAACGTAGAGGGCGCTGGGGGTAGCCAGGGAGAACCTGGGCCAAGGGGCCGGTGCTCAAAGTGGGCCAGAAAGGAAAGGAGGGTATTTTGGTAGGATAGGTTTTGGAAGGATATTGAAGAAAGGGACAGGAGAGGACAAAGGAATGAAAGACCCATAAGGACAAACATACAGACATGCCCCAGAGAAAGGAGACGCTTGTCTTTGGGAGCAGTCAATGGCTTGTAAGATGGCACTGTGCTAGAGTAAAATCAAACTGAGGGTGAACCCCTACGCTGTTGGCGGGAAGGCAAGCTGGTGCAACCACTCTGGAAAACAGTATGGAGGTTCCTCAAACAGTTGAAAACAGAGCCACCCTACGATCCAGCCATTGCACTCCTGGGTATTTACCCCAAAGATACAAATGTAGGGATCCGAAGGGGTACGTGCACCCCGATGTTTATAGCAGCAATGTCCACAATAGCCAAACTGTGGAAAGAGCCAAGATGTCCATCGACAGATGAATGGATAAAGAAGATGTGGTGTATATATACAATGGAATATTACGCAGCCATCAAAAGGAATGAGATCTTGCCATTTGCAACGACGTGGATGGAACTGGAGGGTGTTATGCTGAGTGAAATAAGTCAATCAGAGAAAGACATGTATCATATGACCTCACTGATATGAGGAATTCTTAATCT